GCTTACTGGTTTAAAGACAAGACAACATTCACAAACGACACACATGAACATCACTTATGCTTCCAGGATGCAAACACAGTCTTTCGTTATTCTCAATTTAAAGGATCGTTTAACCCAAATGGCAAAAACAAAAAAATGCTCTCACTTACCCCGGGTATTACCTGGCTTGATACAGCAGCTTAAGTTTCAGTTGTCCAGGTAGGCTGCCGCCACCGTACAACAGAGGTGAGTGGTATTAAGTTTGTGGTGCTCACAGTATTTAAAAATTACTAGTAAAACTACTTAAAGACTACTTTCTTATGAAGAAATATGCCCCATGATCCAGAGTAATGGGGGCTTTGTTTCTGTATGTTGCTGTAGATTAGAATTTACCAAGGGGTCCTTAAAAAGGTTGCAACACACAGCTAAGCTAATTTAAAAAAAAATTATATTATAATTTGATAAAACATTATATATCCTCACATTTGTGTTAATGAGGAAATTAAGTACAATCCCAGGAACAGGAGTACAAATTTGTGCAACGCTAATATTCAGTGTATTTATTGTCGCGATAAACTCTCAACTCTATCAGCGATCGTAGTCTGACCTGACCTGACTCAGTTGTAATACGCTAAAGTGTTGTATTTGAGAGTGCATGAAAACTAGAAAGCAAATGGCAGACAAAAAGCTATAAGTTAGATATAAATGGCTGAAATGTGAAATTGCCACCACATGTATCCCTTTCATAGAAAAGGGGTACAATGAAGGGGTACTATAGCACAACTGGCGGGGCTGTGTGGGGTACATTAGACTATTTAAAATGTAATCTTTCAACGCTGTGAGCACCATAAACAAATGTCCATTCACGCAAACCAAAACTATTAGCATGGCTATATAAGATTAGAGGTAGGTGACAAAAAAATTTTCTTTATGTTTGTTTGTTTTTTTTATATGCACTGGGTGTCCACTTCATTAGGTACACCCGTAAAGTCAAATGCAATCCATAGTCCCTCCATAAAGTTCACTTTTATGATGCCTAAAAGGTTCAGTTTTTATGACACTGTCATCATACTGGTGTTTATTAAAAAAATATGTTCTAACATTGAGGTCATAGTTAATAAATATATTATTGAATTAAAATTTTCAACAGTGTCACCAAAAATGCGAACTATATAGTTTGCGTTTTTATATATGTATATATATATATATATATCGTACTTTGAGTGTACTGACCCTTTAATATAACAAGTTAGCGGAGAACTCTTTAACTTACAATTACAATCATTTCAGATAGAGAGATACTGATGTACCTGTTTTCTGTACATATTTTATGTTTATGTCATCAAAAGTTATTACACTGTAAAAAGAGGAGCTAATTTTTGTCTGCCATGTAAAATGTTACCGCGCAATATTGGTTGCTGTTGTTTCTTTTTTGCTTTTTCATTCTAATCTGCCATGTTAATTTTCTTGTTACTGTAATGGCCTCAACATGTGTCACTAATAAATAAACCACAGTCAACAATGTTCTCATTGTCTTCTTCGCTCATGGTGGTAAGCAATACTGAAATGCTTCGACGGATGTAACTATTTGCGACCTCAAAGCCTGCAGCTCATATCCGTAGCATGCGCAAGCACACGATCACGATCAATGTGTCTTCATCACTAAAGGCTCTCAGGTGTGAGTGACATGCCATCCTGTCTTTGGAAATATCTGACATTTCTCAATAAAAATACATGTATTTTATATCTATTGTGCACACGATGGAAATGTTGTGTCATGTTTTGTGTTTTTACAACTGCATTTTTCCCAGCAGTGACTGAGGACATCTGTGCTGATGGAAACGAAAGCGGGAAATGCCATGCAGTCTCTCTTCTTCACGAAGACTACTAATAATTGATAATAACTGATAATTCTATGACACTGTATGTAGCTCAAAGGTGTAGCCTTTAGTGGAAACACTCCCACACTTACTACTCGGTTATCTTCATCTACATCACATCTGCTGTATGTTTGTGTGAGAAAGAAACAAAGAGGTAGAGGGGAAGGGGGGAGGTTGTATACAATGTGCTCCTCTTAACTTAAGTCAAACCGTTCCCACACACAGACCTACATCTGCTCCACAAGCGTATGCGGTTGTGTGAGTGAACGTCCGTGCACAACGTACACATGAGCTTCTGTGTGAGTGCATGAAAGTGTGTGCTCGTGCATTGAGTCAGATGTTGGTGTGTGTGTGTGTGTGTGTGTGTGTGTGTGTGTGTGTGGGTTCATCAGGGTTGTGTTTCTGAGCCGAGCTGTGTAAGTTTCGTTGTCTGATCTCTCTCTTGTCTTCCTCGGGTAGAAAACTTGAACCGCTTGTAGCTTTGTCACAGCAGCGTCAAGAGGAAGGTGAAAGACTCCGAGCAGTGATCAAAGAATTTAAGATATTAGATTATCTGACTTGGGGAGACTTCCTCTAAAGTCACTCACAGTTTCTCTCCTCCTCGTCTCCATTTCCACCTCTTCTTCTTTGTTAGTTACTATTTTATCTTTCTGTCTTTTTTACCTTTCTCTCTGCTCGTCTCTATACCCCTGTGTTGTGTAATTCTTTCTAACACTGCTCTCTCTGTGTCTCTATATTCTAATCTATTTGGATCTTTGGCTCAACAGACTGAAATAGACCTCTGATAGACTCTCACCCTTATGAGATGGTAATGAAAACAACAAGAACAGCAAATGGTGGTGGAAGTAATCAGATCCTTTACTTAAGTAAAAGTAAAAATATGATTATTTAACCCTAAAAATATAGTATTATCACTGAAATGTACTTAAAGTTATAATCCTAAAGATTTTTCTCCTGGTTGATTTGGCGACACCTGTGGTTACTGGTGGTAAGGGAGATTGCGGTTCACAGTTTATCAGATGCTTTGGTACATTTCTCAGATCAGAAGTGAAATACTCAACACTACTTGTTCAACCTCAACGTCATCTAGTTCACATCAAATGCTTTGACACATTCATGCAAATGATTATGAACTGTCTGCTATTTCCATTATCAATTGCTCATGTCATGTTGATCACAATATATTATACTGGTACTCTGGTGAATAGTCGTACCTCCCCAAAAATATCAGGGTATGGGTTCATTGCAGAAGTCACTGCAGGCAAAATGGTTGAACCACTTGTCAATAATCTGACAAGCATATTTTCTATTGTTTATTAGACTTTGTTTTGTAAATGTTTCCATAATTGATGACAAAATCTGTGAGAATCTGTGGCCTCACAGACTAAGGGGTGTTTCCCATCACATTTCTAAGTGTGTAACTTTTTCCATTGTGCTATGCAGTGCTGTAAAACAGTCACATCTTTCTCTTTTCTGTGTCGTAATGACGTGCTCTGTCAAAAAATCTCAGTACAAATAGTAAAGGCGTGAATGTGAATTGTGTCCAATCTCTTGCAGTCAATGTGTAACTTTGTACTGTTGCAATTGATATACACAGTAAAAGTGCAGACTTGTGCATTTTCAATCATTGTCATCCAAACCTCAGCCATAGTTTACACCAGAAAACACTTCCAGAGTACACTGTTACATTGACAACATGACAACACTGTGACATTGACAACATTTTGACTATCTTGTTTGTAAACAATGACACAAGTACTCGTCATTCTGATGGCACTGACATGTTCACTGTCATAAAGATTTACTTTTGATAGATAGACTAAGGAATTTGAGGAAGTTACGGGCTTTTGCAGGTAATGCACTGTTTAGTGCTGTTTGTACGATCTGTTTCAAGAAATTCTCTTACTGTTTTGCATATGTTAGGGCCAAAGCCACTGAGAGAAACTGTAATAATATAGGTAGATTAATGCATCTATGATACGGCTGCAGGTGAGTGAACAGTAAACAGTAAACAATGAGATAAAATTATATTAGGTTTTCGTAAGACTGAGGACCGGGGTGCGGATACAGAACACTCAAGGCCAGTTAAAGTAAAGAGTTTATTTACAGAGAACTGAGGGACAAGTAGTACAGAGTGGTAGTAGGTGAGATGTGAGCAGGGGCAGGCCGTCCTGGGCAGTGGCAAACAGCTCTCCTAAAGATCCTCCAAACAGGACTAAAACACACCAGATTCAGTAACTTGAAAAAGGAGAACAACAAAAGAGGCATGTGTTCTGGGTTCAGGCAGAGAACACACTAGAAACAAACTAAATGCTCAAGTAACAAAACTAGCCTGAAGTACTCAACCATGCGATGCCTAGGAATACTCTGGCGATGAGTCTCAGGGAGCCCCACATCTTAAAGCCAGGTGTAGATGAGGACTGGCAACAGGTGTGTAGCCTCACCGGGTGATCAGCTCCCTGCCAAGTGAAAGACACCCACACACGCCCACAGAACACCACAGGAGGCAAAAAAGGAAGTGTCACAGGACCAACTGTGACAAAACAGTAACACTGGATTACATGCGTGTCAGATTCTGTGGGAATGGCTGATTCCTCCACTAAAAAGGAAAACTACTATGTACAGAGTTAATTACAGAATGCAAATATATCGAATGGTTATGCAGAAAGAGTAGCAATCATAATGGCATCAAAAACTGGGTTTGAATTCAAGAAAATCTTGAGGATTATAACTTTAAAGAATGAAAAGTAAAAGTACTCATTCTGCAGAAAGAATTAATATGTATAACAGTCATATGACTGATATATCACTTAATTAGATTAGCACTGATGCATCAATGTGTAAACAGTTTTACTGTTGTAGTATTACAGTTTCTCTCAGTGGTTTTGGTACATATATTGGCACAATATTTGCAGAACAGTAAGAGAATTTCTCGAAACAGATCGTAAAAACAGCACCACACAGTGCATTATCTGCAAAAGCCTGTAACTGGCTTAAAATCCTCAGTTTTTCTCTCAAAAGTAAATCTTTATGTCAGTGAACATGTCAGTGCCGTCAAAATGTTTAGACATGCAAATTTTCAATATGACATATGTAAATTTCAGCTGTACAAAGTTACACATTACAAGAGATTGGACACGATTCACATTCGCACTTTTATGGTTTGTACTGTAATTTGTTAACAGAGTACGTCATTGTGATACAGAAAATAAAATAAAACAAGAATGTTTTACAGCACTGAAAGGCACAACGGAAAAAATTACAAAATTCGAAGTGTAAATATGGAAACAGCCCTCAGGCTGATGTTCCTGTCTGTTGGCCCACTGATTATCATCCACATCGCAACGGATATCTTCATCAATTCAGGACACATTTACAAAAAAATCTAATAGGCATGAATAGAAAATATGCTTGACAGATTATGACAACGTGTTCAACCACTTTGCACGTAGTGACTCATGCAATGACCTTATACCTAGATTTTTTGGGGGGTAACACTATTCAACAGAGACGGGTATAATACATCGTGATCAACATGACATAAGCAATTGATAATGTAGGAAACAGCAAACAATTGTACATAATCATTTGCATAAAGGTGTCAAAGCACTGTTTAAAGGAATAATCAATTGTGTTTATGATTTGCACAAATGATAATGTGGAGGTTGAACAAGTAGTTTTGAGAATTTCACTTCTGATCTGAAAAATGTACCAAAGCAACCGAGAAAAACTGTGACTACTTAGTGCAATATGCAGTTTGGTAGTTTAGTCCAGTGGTTCCCAAACCTTGGGAACATGGTCATGATGATGATATGTGGTGGAAAAGAAGAAAACAAACAAATTCTGCACCACAAATCTGTATTTTAGACATAGACTTTTTCTAATGTTATTTGTCAAATAGAGGATAATTAGACCTTCTTTAAGCCTCAAACAATTACTTCCACGAAACCATCTGAGTGGTTTCAGAGGGGGGTCTCTTTTGCAGAGCCGCAAACAACTCTTTATACATTCTTTTAAAAGCTTATATGTTGTTGAAGTTAATCTGAAAAGTTGTAATCATAGTTGTCAGTCAGTAAAATGCACAGTATTTACCTCTAAACCTTTTTGAAGTACCTTCAAACTGTACCTAAGTATACATGAGTAACTGTACTTAGTTGCTTTCCAGCACTGGCAATAGCTGCCAACATAACAAGACAACACAATTTTTGTTGTCAATTTTTATTTTTGCATCATGATAATGTCCATTTTGTTTGTCAAAAGAAACACTTCATTTTTAAGTCATTATATTAAGTGGCTGTTGTAGCAGCCCTACTTACAGAATTGGAAGAAAGAACATAGCCGATTCAAATGAGACGCCAACACGAGAACAACAGCTGATAAACACTGCACTATGACATACAGCAATAGGTTAACAAGTCACTTGATATGTGAGTGGTCTATTAAGAGCAACATCTTACATGCATGGTGAAAATAAATGAAATGAGATCCTAAGCTGAGACAGTAATCTACAGAGCACATTACATCAGGAACGAGCGGCGTCCGTCGCAGAGCTACACATCAGAAAGTATCCTGTCATGATGTTGAGCCTGGGAACCGATAACAGACTTTTCCCTCCTGCAGATGTTTGCGTTGCAAGGACACATGGAGAGTATGTTTTCAGGCTGGGGAGAGTGGGGGGTTGGGTTCCCAGGCAGAGGGGCCACCACCCCTCTATCTTCTGTTCAGAACATCATACGTTTCTTTTTTACCACCTTGGTGTCTCAGAGGCTGGGTGGAAGAGAAAAATTGTAATTTATAATTTTACTTTTTACAAGTGATAATCACACATGCCTATTAAAACATCCTCACAATTCAGCTTACCTGGTAATGGTCACTGGAGCCTCTGTTGCTCACTTCGTTAGGAACGAGATGCTGTCTATCAGAGCCTGAGGAAATAGGTATTGAAAATATTAATATAAAAATCATCATAATCATAATCATAATTAATGTTAAGTTAAGTGTTATATTTGAATTGGTGTTATTTATCACTGGAGCTAATTTACTGCTTATGCCTATTTCTACTTTTTATTTGAGTTATAAAATTGTTCATGCATGTTTTTGTGTATGTCTTATTGCTACTTTTACTAAGGGAACTGAGGTAAACAGTAATACTTGTTGTTGTGGACTAGTTTAAGTAATACACTGATGTATCATAATTTTGGTCAACTTATCTGTTACATGTTTAGAACACAGTACAGGGGTTGAAAAACAATGCTGTATACGCTAAATATGTCGCTGGTTAGCTTAGCCTAGCATAAAGACTGGAAAGACATAAGAAACAGCTAGCCTGCCAAAAGTAACAAAGTCTGCCTACCACAAGGCGTATATAGCATGAAAAGTATAATATGATAGTTGTGGCTACCCAGTGTGTATCAGTGCTAATATAAAGACAAGTAGTTGGAGCTAATTAACCTGGTTCTACTGTGTTATAAGCGCCTGCTGCTGTTGCTGTGATCATGGCTGTAGCCATGCCCATGGTTTGGTTCTTATGATTACCATGACCATGACACATGCGTTCTTAATGTGTTTAGCAGTAACTTCATGCAGAAGATACATATGCAGGGAATAAACAATAGACTCTACGACCTAAACCTGTTTCAGTGTTCAGATGGGCACCTGACTATTGTTTTAAGACAGACTTGAAAATATGTGAACCTATCCTTTAACTCAATATCCAAAAGAAAGAAGTATTAAAAAGCGATCAGAAACGTATTTATTTTATTTATTTATTCATATAGAGCAGGTCTACTGCATAATTGAATAGGCCTATGTAGTATCTAGTAGTCTATTTAGTAATCATTTTAAATGTGAGGGTTATTGCAGCCTTTTTGTTCTTCTTGAGAACTTCAAATAAAAGTCCAGTCCCAATTAAACGCCTGTCCCTTTTATTGGCCTGGTGTGGCTACACATTTTGACAAAAAAATGCATGTCTCAGTTAGAAGCTAGGTCTGATTTTTATGGAAGTTCTTATAAAACTCACGTTTTGTGCCCACGTCCATTTGAAACATGAATGGTCGATTAACTTATTCATCAATGTGTATGTCCGTGTGTGCGGATTGGTGATTTATTTTATTTCTTTATTTATCTATTTTTAACTCAATTACTTTAATGTATACTGCCTATTTACCATTTATTTATTGTACTTTGCAAGCTTGAATTTGAAAACCTCCGAGCTCTGTCTAAGCTGCTTAGATTGCACATACGAATATAAATGTTAAAACCTTTGTCAAACATGCTACACATTATACATTGGTTAGGTTCTCCACATACAATCCTCCGGTTAGTTTTATGGAAACAATTAGCACCATTTGAGGTTGGCCTATAGATGGGCTGTCTCTTGGGGCTATATCCAATGAATGGTTCGTAATTGACATGTTATCCAACAGCTTAATTTTTAGACAACTAATATTCGTACTGGTTGAAATAAACAACTTGATAGTAGCCTATTTCCCATCTTTGCTGAGTAAGAATTTTGTGCAAAAGGAATGAAAAACCTGTCCCAAATAGACACCCGTCCTAAACATAGGCAGGGATAGATAGTTAGATAGATAGATAGATATTACCTTTCTTGTGAGAGGCAATTGGACCGCTGCGAGTCTGAGACGCAACAAGATAGACAGCCCATCCAATCACGATCGTAGCCACCACGTCTCCAACAACTAGTCCAAATATTGAAGTCGGGTCGAGCTCTATGCAATTATCACAGGCTGGACAAACACAGTCACAGACACAGACACAAACACCAGTCACTTGAGAATCTCACATTTGTTAGGTAGGATTACTGTCATGAAATACTGTACTTATAATACAGTGTAATGGTAATAATAAAATTACACATAAAACCCTCAAAATTTACAAAATACATGAGTGTTTTCATCACTCAATACAAGACACAGTTTTTGCAGCAGAACTTACTCCGAAATTTCACAAAGATTTTTGTTTCTTCTGTGAGTACTTTTTCATTGAGTAGCGCACAAGAGTACTCCCCTGTGTTCTCATCATTGTATTCCAATTTCCCGGATTCAACCTCTGTCTCATCTTTAAATAGAGTTTTACTTCCGCCACAGGACACCTTTATCCCATCAGACTCTTTTGTCACAGTTATCTTGTCCTTTTCTCCTGTGTAGGAAAAAGAAACATTTGATACAATAAAGCTGCACCATTTGCTGATTATTGAACTGCTTCTTGTAAATAACCCTCAGGCATGCTTAGAGACAGATTAAAACATCATTTCACACATGTAGTTACTATTAGGCAACCTCATTTGGCTGTTAAAAGAGTCTTCTTACCTGAATTACTACTGACAGATGCTGTGGGAGAAATGTGGAAAGAAATGTGAAAAACATTTAGTTTAATGAAACTTTTAAAATGAAAGGAGTCTATTAGTTATTATTAGTCTTTTTAAAACTATACCGATGTAAGATATTTGAAGACAGGTTGTCATTTTGGTGTCTTGTCATTAAAAACTAAAATCTTGACATTGGGCCTACCTGTCAGTGTCCAAAGCAGCAGCAGACAGGCAGGAAACACTACTTGACATTTCATTGCGTTTACTCGTCTGAGTTCTGCCGATGACAGGAGGATCACTGTAAGTAACAGCAACAGCAAACAGGAAGAGCGCCATTTTCTGTTCCCTGTCAACCATTTTACTCAACTTATTGTTAAAGATAACTTACGATGAAAGACAACCTTTAGGGTGTTGATTCAAGAAAAAAATATAAGCTAATCTATAATAAAAACTGACTTTGAGTTTTGTTGATTTTACCTGAAATATCAAATTATATTATTATCGTCATATTTGAGGGTCTCCATCAAAACATACACGTTCACAATCTGAGCTGAACTGAAAATATGAAATCCACAGCAAAATTTAAATAAAAGTACTGACCTCAAAAGAAAGAGCTGCCGTGTCCCTGCTGTCAAAGCATCCAGCCTCCGTCTGGTGAAGGGTCTCAGTCTGTGTGTGTGAGAGTGAGAAGGAAGTGAGTGTGATTGGTTTATTTTCCATCTCAGCAGGCTTTGTTGATTTCTACATCTGGAGCAATCGGTGTCTCATTAACTTCCAGCAAATGACAGTATAAGACACTGGTGGAATATAACTAAGTGCATTTACTCATGGATTGTCATTTCACACCACGTTTTTCTTTTACTCCACTAGAATTCAGTGGGAGGTGTCTCCTCCACTATGTTTATTTGACAGCTACAGTTACTAGTTACTTAACAGATCAAGATTTTACATACAAAACACATGAGGTTATGTCTTATGATGCATTGTTGTAAATTAAATTACTTAAACACTAGGTCTGTAGGTTTAAATGACCTCTGCCTTGACTAACTGTAAACAGTAAAAGGCTACTTAAACATTATTGCAGCATCATCAATAATCTAATAATTTAAAAATGGGACAGGAGACTTTTATTAACACTGAATTTGTTAATAATACCTGTGCACTTTTGTGTGCTTTTACTCAAGTTGCATTTTCATTGCGGGGCTTTTACATGTACAGCAGTATTTTTCCACTAGTAATATTAGGATACACTGTCATTGTCAATTAAACTGGTATGTAATATTTAGTCCATTTGCAGCCGAAAAGCTGCAATAAATTGTTAATTCATTCTCCATTCCACCACTGTCTATGACTTTGTGTTACTGTTGTATGTTTGGGGAGTTAAAATGTATCAAGTAATTTTCACCGTTTTACCCACGTCATAATTCAGTTTGACAAAGCACCTATGATACTTTCCTATAGATATGAGCAGCAATCTGTGAAGGAAAACCTTCATATTGACTATGCAAATGATGTCACTGTTATCCACATGGTAGCTGAAATGAGAGATGTGTGGAGCAGCTCCATCTGGTAAAACAAAAGGCATTAACACAACCGTGTGTGTTCAGATGAATATTTCAATTCCCTGCCTGTTGTAAATGTTTGTCCCGCTGTGTGTGACAGATTACATTCCCTGTTCAGTGCAGAAGAAGAAGCAGCAGCAGCAGGAGCAGAGAGAGAGCGAGAGCAAAGAGATGCTCCCACAACACAAGTTTGCTTCCTGCCACAACAACCTGTGACCTAGAGCTAACACCTGGCACACATACACACTCATAGAGCCAAACTTAAAGACATGCATTATTTGTCTGGTGCACCTGCTATTGTAAACAAAACAAAAAAGAAAGCAGAGAATCAAATGTCTTCTTTCCCAAAATCCTTTCTCTTTCACACAACAAACACTCATCACTACTGAAATGTCAACAACACACATCACCCACATAACAGAAAGTCCTACATATTTTCCAGCTTATAAACTTAGAGCGCCCCCTGGTGCGCATCTACAAAACCACCAGTTTTTTCCAGCAATTACTACATACAATTTCATTATCATCTTTATTAGACATCCTCTTTTATACACATATACATATGCATACAAATATACAGTACATGACATATCCATTATACAAATACATGTACTTTAATTATGTGCCATCTTATTTGGATACTATTGTTCAAAATGGACAATCTCACATACAGTACAGTATCTTGGACATTCTGGTGTTAGCATAGAACAATTAATGCATTCCAATAATGCAACGGGGAGGAGGACATTATGAGTATGTGGTTACAGGAGGAAATCATGTCAAAACATACAGAACATGAGCATTTATACGTAGAGTTCATACTTTGCATTATTGAGATTCAAAAAGACACATGATGAACTCGTCAGAGAGTGTGTTGTGACCCAGAAACAGATAAGATCTTCACAACAAGACAGTTTCCTGGTCGTCCTGGTCCAGCTTGAAGGAGATTGATGATTGGCTAAATGACTGACTGGCAGTTGTTCTGGGTTTCCTCTCGGACAGCTGCACTGTTTTGCATGCATGAACATTATGTTTGTGTGTGTGTGTGTGTGTTTGTGTTTGTAATTTTGCGGTCAGTCACAGCCAGATCTCCTCGCTGCTTGTGCTGTTCACTTTATAGATGTAGCCCACCATCGGATATCGGGCAAAACCTGGGAGTCATCGGGGAGGAAAGCAGTCAGACAGAACACAGCACTAAAAAATAAAACACACCCTGCAGTTCCTCCACACTGAATCTAAAGAATAAACAATGAAAAATGTATCAGCGTGTATTTCCCTGACCTCTAGCAGCATAGGCTAAAGACAGATCTTCCTCCTCCTCTTCCTTCTTCTCACCCACACTATTCTGCTGGGCCGCCTCTCGGGCTGCGAGAAGCAACAGCAGAATGCAAGAGAAAAGGCAGGATGAGTTTGAAGGGATAGTTTTAGGGGGGATGCACTTATATTTTCATGCTGCAACTTACAGAAGAGAAGACTGATACCACTCACACGTCTTTACTCTAAATCACTACAGCTATGAGTCGGTTAGCCTAGCTTAGCATAAAGACTGGAAAAGGGGAGGGTGGGTGTACAAATACTGAAATGTGCTTTGAAGCTAAAGCCAGGAGATGGTTTGTTTAGCTTAGCATAAATATTGGAAACTTTTTTTAGGCCCATACATGTTACAGCAACAGGTCGGTTGTACATAGAGGTGCATTTTAAAAGAAATTAAACATTGTGGAAAAGTGCATTGTTTTTTTTTTCTTTTTAAACCTGTCTTGCCCAGCAGTCTGGTATAGAGTATGAGGAGCTGGATGCCATGTTGTGCCAGACAGATTTTACTTTAACAAGAGAGTATTAAAATACTCCTTTGTCTGTTTTATTATTTATTTGTCACTGGGCCGGACAGGGGCAGACATGGGGATGGGGGACACAAACACCACACAAACAGACAGCACAGAGAAAGGACAACACCTGTAAGAGAACAGGGAGGGGGGCCTGGGGTGGAGAAAAACAAACAACAAACAAAAAAACAAAAGCAAAGAGGCAAACAGCCGAACAGCAGCAATAAACAGCTGACATAGGAAGACAACTGAGTGAGAAATGAAAACGTGGAATAGTACATGCAAAATAAATAAACAACACAGCACAGCCATGGGAGCTGGAATAATAACAACTAATTTAAATAAGTAACTGAAAGAAAAGCGTTTTTAGCATCAGAACCAGACTTTGGTGTTTTTAGTTACTTAGTTGATTAGAGCTTTTCTCTTCTCAGGTCGACATTTCTGTATTATAAATTCTTTTATTATTTTTATTCCAAAATTCTAATAGTTTTGTGATATTGAAGTTTTGATTTCCATGAGCTGTAAACCGTAATCATTAGGATTAAAATGAAAAAAGGTCTGAAAGATTTCAGTTTAAGTTTAATGAATTAACCCACTATAGGGAGCCAGGGGACAAAAATATTACGACATACTACTGAAACGCAATGAATTGGGGCCCCTGACAGTCCTTGGACCCACGGGCAGTTGTTGCAGTACTCCAACCCTGACTACACTGTCATTTTATGCTGCATTAAAACTCTTTAGGAATTATGGAGGGAATAACTTGACCACAGTTGATCACATTTTACACCACAGTGGAAGTTGGTTGGAAAACTTTTGTGTTGCCATGTACTTCACATTTCAGAATGCAAGGTACCCTATTGTCTCCATTTTGCCAACCTTTAGCGCTGCGCATTGATTGTGAAAACTGAATATTTGTATTGAGTGGTGTTCATTGACTGATTAATGTTTTAATTGACCTCCAGACTTTTGCCATCTTACGAACCTCGTAAACAAGAGTTCACAACTTCACAAATTGCATTTTTGGCATAAAAGCATACAGTATTTTCATATTTCTAAGCTGTCAATGTGATATACAGTCCATATCTTTAAATTACCCCCCCCACACACACACACAGCTCCACCCATCTGTGTGTGAGGTGAGGGAGTTTGAATTCTTACCTTTTCTCAAAGTGCTGAGGTCGTTGAGCTGCATGTTAGAAGGCAGAGACATGTTCTCTCTCGGGATGTGGGTCTTATCAGCTTTCTCTGCCTTCAGATTGGCAGAGTCACTGTGCAGGAAATATGGAGGAGAGATTTCCAACTTAGTGTTATTGTTCTGCAGGATGGTCATAAAGTATTTATAAAAATACAAAAACACTTTCAGGAGTGTTTTTCTTCCAATCCGCTAACAATGGAGATGGAAATTATGTGCCAGTGTGTCAACGAAAGGAAGGTGGTTGCAAAAATTATAAAAGGATATGGGGGGATGTATACTTGTTAAAAGTCCTTATACACAAGCCTTAACCCTCAATTGACTATTTTCAACATCACAGGTGTTTTCATGCTCTAAAAGTGACAGGTGGACGTGATTTTGTGTAATGTTTTAATGCTAGGCCCTTGTCAGCATATTAGCATCTACAGTATAATCTGCAGGACACTGTCTACATGTGTCAAGTGTTCAACATGTGTGTGTGATGCTGAACTGCCATGAGTGAATATGGGACACTTAAAAGGAATTTGCTTACTCGCTTTTTTTTTCAAGTCAAGGAGCCAGATCTTATGTTGTTGAAGTTGGCTGTTAGCCAAAATTTATTTAAGCATCTGCTGACAGGCACAGCAATGTGATACTTGTATACAGAAACTCTTTGCTGACTGTCCACTACTGCCAGTGATGCATGCACTCTTTGGGAGTGCAGCAATGTTTTGTAAAAACACTAAATACTGCTCTTATGAATGAAAGTGCAGAAAGACGTTAGTTAAAAAGTCAGGATTGACTCATGGCTATATTTATTTATTTAAGCCAGTGGCGTTAAGAATACTCCTTGTTGCTGTTATGAATTCTTTCTTTCACAACCCAGTAAAAAGTAATGTAATATTATTAGTTTTTAAGGGTCAATTAGTAAAAAGTCACTTATTACAATCCCTGAGTAACTTGCTGAACACTGCCTGTTGAGAATGAGAAGAGACCTTCACTTATTTCACCTTTTCCTTTATGGTAGCAAGGCAAAATATGGCAGCAGGCAATCACAGTTGATTTACAATGAAAACTCAGCTGGTAACCTCTGAGGTAAAGATTCAACACTTGGTGGGTAAAAGGAGATACTGTCTACCATAACATATCCAACTCCAAGACAAATGCTTATCCAGTCTTGTTGGCCTGGTTTACCTACTCTCCAGGTGTATTCTATTAAGGTGGTTCACACAAATATCCAATGACAGATGTCTGATTACTTTATTTACCTTTTCTTGGTCATCAGAATCTCCACTGGCTCATCTGTAACATAAGACAAGAAGACATCTCATCCTGCTGAATAAGTACAACAATGCAAGCTACAGTCACACATTTTCCAGCTGACTTCCTACACACAGAGACACACTCCAGTCTCACCAAAGGACTTGATCTTGTTTTTTTGCATGAGGCAGAGAACTATCAGACTGAGGATGAGGAGGGCCATGAAGGCCATGGCTCCCCCAGTCACTATTCCCAGCATGGGCACCTCCACACGAGACTGAAGGAACTCTAGAGAGAGAGTTAAAGGAAATGTTTGACAATTTGGAAACTACACTTATTTACTTTCTTACTGAAACGTAGATGAGGAGATCAATACCACTCTTGTGTTTGCATGGTAATACGAAGGTACAGCCAGGATACGGTTAACTTAGCATAAAAGAGAACTTATCATTTTGCCTTTTACCATCACTGACCTGCCAGTGTTAGGTTACTCTGCACAGTTCCCACACTGTTGCTGGCGTTGAGCGAGACATTCCCTGATAGGTTACTGAGCATGACCTTCAGCGTGTGATTGGTCAACCAGGGATAGCTTCGTGAGTCCAGGATGAGGAAGTCAGAGGTGTTGGCTACCAGCTGGCCGGACTGGTCCACAAAGGCGATGGTGGCGGGCGGGTTAGACCTTACCAAGGCGAAGAGGACCAGGGAGAGGCCGGGTTCTGAGGTTTCACTGTAGTGGGCGTTTACCCTGAGGATCTCTGGCTGAACTGGGAGACAGAGAAGATGAACAACTCAGCACTTCAATCACTGTATCCAAAGAAATTAGCTGGGTCCACTTACAATCCTGAAATATTTAACACAGACTCACATTGGACATTGAGTGTGACCGTGGCATTGTAACTCTCTCCTGTCCTGGGATTCGATGCGACACACACTAGCTCCCTGTCCCACTTCCTGGCCCGCAGAGAGAAGGTGCTGTTGTGATTGGTTCCCGGTCTCATGACCTCAGAATCTTCCTGCGACGTCATCACCAGGCGCCCACGGTGGGGCTCTCTCTGCTGCTCCCCGTTCAGGTACCAGGTAAGCAAGGGAGGGGCACGGGGATCCCAGCCACCTGTTTGGCAGTTGAACCGGTGTGTCATGTTCTCCTGCAATGTCACAGCTGCCTTGTGCCGTCCGTCAATTTTGGGGGCGGGCTCAATTGCACCTGTGAGTAAAGGATCAGTATTGTTGTAATAGGACTGCATGTAAAGTGTCTCTACACTAATATTACAAGCTAAAGCAGTAGTTTGACATTTTGGGAAATGTGTTTATTCCTTTTGTTGTGGAGTTAAGTGAAAAGATTAACATCACTCCCATATCTGTCAGTGAAATTTGAAGCCATAGCTAGCGGCCAGTTAGCTTAGCTTAGCCCAGAGACTCGCAGCAGGGGAAAATAGCTAACATGGCTCTGTCTAAATGAACAGAATCCTACCAGTACCGCTTAAGCTCAATAATTAATATGTTATTATAATATGTAATTTAATCTGTACTGTTTCCTGCTGCTGTAAAACCACAGCTTGTCATATTTACACTTGTGTTCTTCCCCCTGTTTCAGTCTATGTGCTAAGCTAAGCTAACCGTCTCCTGGCTCTAGCTTCATAACAGACAGAGAGTTAAGAGTGGTATTAATTCTTTCATCTAACTCTAGACAAGGAAGTGTATTTTCCAAAGTATTAAACTAACTAAACTTTCCTCTTTGATAAAGCTTATAGTTAGGGCTGGCTCAGGTGAGTCCTGAACCATCCCTTAGTTATGCTGCTATAGGCCTAGACTGCCGGGGGATTTCCTATGATGCACTGAGCTCCTCTCTCCTCTACTTTCTCTCTCTCTGTATGCAACCTCATCCCATTATTGCATGTTACTAACACAACTTCTCCCCTTTCCAGTAGTCTTGTGCTTTCTCGTCCCTCTCCTCTCTCCTCCTATCACTTCCTGCAGGTGTTTCTGGCTCTGGAGCTGTGGAGTCTGGATCTGTGGCTGCGGGTCACCTGCTGCCCCCGTGTTCCTGCTCGACACACTCTGCTACAATAACTATTACCATTACTAGTCGTATTGTTATTATAATCATTAACATTACGACTGTTATCATTAACACTACTATAAATATCTGTACCATTTTTCATTTAGTCTATAGCAACATCACCTTTACTGTCTGTACTTCTGTGTGTGTATATTGTGTAGGCTGCCTCCCTCCCTCCCTTCCATCCCTCTCCTGCCCTCTTTCTCTCTGTTCCTCTCTTGCTCTCTCTCTCTCTCTCTCTCTCTCTCTCTCTCACCCCCAACCGGTCGAGGCAGATGGCCGCCCACCCTGAGCCATGGTTATGCTCGAGGTTTCTGCCTCTTAAAAGGAAGTTTTTCCTTGCCTCTGTCACCTAGTGCTTGCTCTTGGTGGGAACTGTTGGGCTTCTGTAAATAACATCACAGAGTACGGTCTAGACCTGCTCTTTTATAAAAAGCGCTGTGAGATAACTGTTGTTGTGATTTGGCGCTATATACATAAAATTGAAATTTGAAAATTAATTCTTTAACGTTGACCAAGTTGCTAGTAAGTTGCAGTTTGTGGTTGTTGTTTTATCTTCTAAAGATATTTCGAGTAAACACTGCTTCCATCCAAAATGGTATCAGCTAGTTCCATGCAGCTAATGCTACATGTAGCCTATTTTAAAGGAAATTCCCCAACAATTGACATTTAGCTTGTTATTTTCCAAAAGGAGAAATTTTACCTGAATCTTATTTAAATTAATTTTGAAGACAATGGACCAAGTTTGCCTGAATTTGCATGAGACAACAGCCCTGTTTATGACCCACTGTTTTATCATGGCTGATTCACCATTAAAATAGGTGCAATGCAATAACCTAGAGGTCAATTTTGGTTGAATTCCAATTGTTCAAAAGGAACTGGTAATTTTTACTGGGCTGCTGTGTGCCTCACCTGTCCAGGATAAGGCCAGTGTGTGAAGGAACACAACAGCGGAGCCTGATGCCCACCTTCTCAGACACACACGCTCCATAATGGCCCAGAGGAGCACCACACACGCATACACATCTACCTGCTTGGAGAAGAAAGTACATGAGGTAATTATTTGTCCATAATAAGGATCTATGGATTATCCCAAAGAATCACCGACGGATATCTCAAAAGGTAGGCACGTGAAAGCAAAACTATCCACATGGCTCAATAACTCTGGTGGTACATGAGGATATAGGTTTGGTTTCTGATTCTGACTAAATCTCACTTTAAAGGCACGTAGATTGTTGTTGGTGAGATTGAAATGCAAGCCTAAAGATGAAGACAGAGCTGATATGAAACTTTCAGTGCAATGCTATAAAAACAAAAGCAGGCGGTACTTTTCACATACAGCTAGTGACATGCCTCTCACTTTTCAGTAGGTCACTTCTGGTCCAGCATTGATTTGCATGACTGATCGGTGATTGTGCAAGCGCACATACACTGTGTGTGGGGAGTGAGTAATATCTAGTGCTTGCTTGCAATCTGGGTCACGTGATCTGTGTGAGCACCTCGGGTGAAAGCAGGAACTGAGCCATCAAAGCAACACTCATAATCTTACACATATGGAGACGACCCAAGTCCAGTTTTGAAACACATGCACACGTGACAGAAGGTGTTACATCTCTTTGCCCTCAGGTTGCGGATGCTGGGATTGCACTGACAATCAGAGCAATATGATATGGCAGCAAGGGGCTACACATTACACTGTAGGTCCACATATACACACACTCCACTTTGTAAGGCTGCATGCAGGCATTTCAATGCAGATGTGTGCACTTAAATACAGAAAGAAAGCCCTCTACGACACACAGTGTTATTACCTCAGCCCTTTCTGCAGACGCTGTTGTGATTCAGCCTGCTGGAGCTCCATGGCAGCAGAGGAGGAGAGGAGGGAGAGTGAAGGATGGTGATAACAGCGAGGAGATGAGAGGCAGCCCTCCCTGACTCAGTTCCTTTCCCATCTGCGTACACACACACACACACACACACACGGATCTCTGCAGGGTACGGTAGCTCCAGTAGCAGCGTTCACTAGCTGGCAGGGGCTTGCAGGGCTGGCTGACGCAGGCAGTCACGCTGCCACCACTAAAGAGGACGAGGAGAGTGGGGAAGGGAGGAGGGGATGAGGGAGGGAAGGAGCAGGCAGCTGAGGAGATGGAGAGAAAGAGGGAGAGAGGAGAGAGCGAAGGACACAGAGAGAGGAGAGTGGGCACAGAGTCGTGAGGGAAGGAAATAAAGAACCGATGTGGGGTGGAGTGGGAGAGGAGATGATGATGTGCAAAGCATCAATCTTTAACGATCCATTAGGGGATTGAACATGGAGCTGTGGTGGATAGAAGAGGGTAAACTGTCAATTCAGAGGGATAAACAGATCTCTTCTTATCCTCCATCATTCCTATCCATCGTCACTCAGGCATGTTAAAGTAACCCCTGATATACAAAGGCACACACTCTACATGGCTCACACTGTCTGAGCTCAATTACTTCAGACTGGAAAGCCTCTGCAGTGCAGCTGTACAGAGGTGAGCAGCATCATGCAGAGTGCTGCAGACAAAAGAAACACATAGACTAGGTACTGTATATTTCCTTCGCTAAAGCTTTAAATACTCCTCAGGAAATGCCGTGATTAAAATTTTTATCCCAGTACCTCATAATAAAGTATTGCTTTTGTTTGGGGTCTATGAAGATAAATTCCCCTGAGGAAACTTTGCCCTTAAGTCCGTCTCTGACTGAAAAACAGGTTTCAATAGGAGGGCCAAAATGCTATGCATCTAGCAAATACCATTTACTTCAGTCATCTGTGGAACAAGGTCAAGAAGAGGTTAGGTCACGTCTAGGCTTCATGTGGTGATTAAACAAGCTGCATATTTAGGACACTTTAAACTTTTTTGTGTTTTTTGCTGTTGTGACACAAACAGGTAAATCCTGCTACATTCAGCCAAAGGAAATCCTTCACCTTTCAGCGACACCATGGATGAAAGTCCAAATATTTGTTATAAAGAATGCACAGACACTGGATAGCCACTGCAAACAGAATCACACACAAAACAATTTTTATGTTGTTTTATGTTTAAAGGACCATTTTTGCATTGATATTTTACCCACCTTCCAGGGAGCCACAGTTTCCATTTATTTCTGAGAACCATGAAAACCAGACTGCCGTGATGGAAATGTGAGAATTATTTGCATCTTCAAAGATTTAGAACTGCTTTGTCAATTCTCCATCAAGTAGAGGGGAACCCTAAACAAAGCTGTGGAATAATCACAATACAACTACAGCCAGGCCGAAGCAGTGTCACCATCACTGTTTGTCTGCTAGATAGCACCGACAAGTAAATGCTTTTCCAAATATAAAATCTGTATTGGCTTCAAAACTCTAAATCCTTTTTCTCCTCCATGAATGTATTTATGTTTTCTGTCTTTTGTTCCCTGTGTATTTAAACGATTAATCAGTCATTTTACAAGGAAAAATGTCATTTTATGGTTCCAGCCTCCCAGTTGTGTTGGGAGTTGTGATAACAACCTGAGCATCTGGTACACTGTTGGACAGAACAAGCTATTGCTATGAAGACACTACCTTGGGCTTTAGGAAATTGCGATGGGATTTTTTGTTACAAAATTCCAACATTTTAGAGACCAAATGATGATCAGTAAATTGAAAAAATTATCATCAGATGAATCAGATGAGAACAGTTATTGATTGCAGCCCAAATAACTATGGTAAATAAGGCAATAATGAACTGAGACATTATGCGATAGATTTACATTTCGCAAAGTCAAAGGCTGCCTGGAAGTTGGAAACACAAAATATTTTTTTTATATACACTGCTCAAAAAAATAAAGGGAACACATAAACAACACAATTTAACTCCAAGTCACTCACACTCCTGTGAAATCAAACTGTCCATTTAGGAAGCAACACTGATTTATAATCAATTTCACATGGAATAGACAACAACAGGTGGAAATTATAGGCAATTAGCAAGACACCCCCAATAAAAGGAGTGGTTCTGCAGGTGGTGACCACAGACCACTTCTCAGTTCCTATGCTTCCTGGCTGATGTTTTGGTCACTTTTTGAATGCTGGCGGTGCTTTCGCTCTAGTGGTAGCATGAGACGGAGTCTACAACCCACACAAGTGGCTCAGGTAGTGCAGCTCATCCAGGATGGCACATCAGTGCGAGCTGTGGCAAGAAGGTTTGCTGTGTCTGTCAGCGTAGTGTCCAGAGCATGGAGGCGCTACCAGGAGACAGGCCAGTACATCAGGAGACGTGGAGGAGGCCGTAGGAGGGCAACAACCCAGCAGCAGGACCGCTACCTCCGCCTTTGTGCAAGGAGGAGCAGGAGGAGCACTGCCAGAGCCCTGCTAAATGACCTCCAGCAGTGTGTCTGCTCAAACGGTCAGAAACAAACTCCATGGGGGTGGTATGATGGGCCTGATGTCCACAGGTGGGGGTTGTGCTTACAGCCCAACACCGTGCAGGACGTTTGGCATTTGCCAGAGAACACCAAGTTTGGCAAATTCGCCACTGGCGCCCTGTGCTCTTCACAGATGAAAGCAGGTTCACACTGAGCACATGTGACAGACGTGACAGAGTCTGGAGACGCCGTGGAGAACGTTCTGCTGCCTGCAACATCCTCCAGCATGACCGGTTTGGCGGTGGGTCAGCAATGGTGTGGGGTGGCATTTCTTTGGGGGGCCGCACAGCCCTCCATGTGCTCGCCAGAGGTAGCCTGACTGCCATTAGGTACCGAGATGAGATCCTCAGACCCCTTGTGAGACCATATGCTGGTGCGGTTGGCCCTGGGTTCCTCCTAATGCAACACAATGCTAGAGCTCATGTGGCTGGAGTGTGTCAGCAGTTCCTGCAAGAGGAAGACATTGATGCTATGGGCCGGCCCGCATGTTCCCCAGACCTGAATCCAATTGAGCACATCTGGGACATCATGTCTCGCTCCATCCACCAACGCCACGTTGCACCACAGACTGTCCAGGAGTTGGCGGATGCTTTAGTCCAGGTCTGGGAGGAGATCCCTCAGGAGACCATCCGCCACCTCATCAGGAGCATGCCCAGGCGTTGTAGGGAGGTCATACAGACACGTGGAGGCCACACACACTACTGAGCCTCATTTTGACTTGTTTTAAGGACATTACATCAAAGTTGGATCGGCCTGTAGTGTGGTTTACCACTTTGATTTTGAGTGCGACTTCCAAATCCAGACCTCCATGGGTTGATAAATTTGATTTCCATTGATAATTTTTGTGAGGATTTGTTGTCAGCACATTCAACTATGTAAAGAAAGGAGTATTTAATGAGATTATTTCATTCATTCAGATCTAGGATGTGTTATTCTAACATTCACTTTATTTTTTTGAGCTGTATATGTGTATATATATATATATAAAAAAAATTGTATGTTAAAACATGCAGAAACTACAGGAGCTTACAATGCCCCATCCTGATCCCAGATAAGTAGCACGTAACACAAAGACACACAAGCCATGAGCTTTTTAAATTATTTCTTTATTTATATATATTTCTTTATTTATTCATCTCAGTTTGGTTGATATTCTTTTTAAATCATTGTTGTTGCACTTTAGTATTTTTGTACTCAACAGAAATGAACATAACAAAAAAAAATGACAAAATGAGCCAATAGAAAACAAAATGAACCTAAGAAATATGAGTAGAGCAGAGAGCTGCTTGCTGAGCAGGGAGGCAGGGAGAGAGAGAAAAGAAAAAAGGGGCAGGGATGAAAAAGTTAAGACAAAGAAAATGGGGGAGAAGGGTCAGTCTGATCAGGCAGAAGAGTGTGAAGCAGCTCTCTCCTTCCCATTACCTCTGAATCATCTTCAGTGTTTTTCATTCACTCAAACTGTCCTTTCCTGCGTGCCTCTGCTCCCCCCTCGATACAGATCTGAAACAACAGCTGTGGTACTGGTCATGACATTAGACAAGGTGGAGCCTCTCGTCTTAATTTTAGAGTTTCTTTCCTGCCATGGGACAAGAGACATGCAATGTCTTCCATTCTAGTCGTTTCCTCTCCAATACCCAACAAGCGTTCTTTCTCTTCCAGATCTCAGTTTTGGCTTGGAGTAAACAATGAGAGAAAACAGGAGGACAGATCTGAAAGAGGAATGACCGCGAACTGGAGGGACTACCGAGATGGAACGGAAACAAAGCTTCTTCTGCCCGACGAGACACTGCCTCAGTTTGCGAAGGAACAGAAAACACATTATTTTCTTGAATCCATCCCACTTGGCTGTTTACTCTTCCTGTATGCTCCTCTTGTTTTAGAGATTCGGATCTGCCGCTAAAGGTGATCCCATCTGCTCTGAGGAGGAGGAGGAGATTTTGGTAAACAGGAAGTTGGTGCAAAGGGAAAGCACAGGCGCTGCGTGACACCATCTACAGCTCTCAGATGTATGTAGCATACAAAAAGTCAACCGAGCAGCCAGGTATTGTGAAATCTGGCCAGTATAAACACATACAAGTGGAGCTTGATTTTTTTTTTTTTGGCACCACAGTCTCTTGCTGGCCCAATATAGACTCAATATCCAAGGGTTCTGTATATGGGAGGATAAAGAGGTCAAACAATAAAAATTTTATAAAAAAAAAAAAAGGGAGAAAAGGGTGGGGATCAACCTTCTGCTGTTGTCCCCAGTGTGCTGTAACCCCCATCTGGATGTGCTTGAGCCTCGCTCAGCTTAGGGCACAGACCTCGGCGGACAAGTTTAAGGCGGGCACACCCTTCCCGCTCGCTCTGACCACAACCTTGTATTCCCCTGCTGTGGAAGTCCAAATCAAACAATTCATTCCTATGGTCACCTCCTGAAACGTTTCCCTTTTGTGGTTTGGAGGTGTGTCCAAACCATCATCCACTGACTGTTCATGAAACGCAGCCATCGTGTCCTCTGATATAAACTTCCAGGATTTTTTGGGGGCCGAAACGAGATATGTTTACCAAAAAGAGGGGTGTGAGAGGGTCGAGTAGTAGTAGTTGTAGATTCCTCCTTGGTTGCCATTATAACAGGGTTAGCTTTGGAGGAGGGGCCATGTCCATAAGGCGTCATCCAATCAGAAGCCGATGTAGTAGAAGATGGGAGGATCACAGCAGACAGGTAGGGCAGCGTGAGAGAAAAAGAAGGGGGGGGGGGAGGTTGTCCATCTCCACACTTGTGATGTTTAGGATGATATGTCAGCTATTTTACAAGTTATTCCCTTGTTTGTTGTCTTTTTTTTTTTACTTTTTTATATTAAGAGTGTCAAGTCTCTGTAGCACCCGAACCAACCCAGACAAAGCCCAAAGCCTGACCCTGTATAGCCTGCCACAACTACCCCGTTAACAGAAAACAGGCCCAACATCAAGAATGACAGTCACAACAACATCGATTGAAATGATACTTTGCAAAACAAAATAATTACTCTCCTCTTATTCAAGTGTCTCGATATAATAATATTAAAACAAATAAGAACAATCTTTTTTTTACGACACAGAAAGAGCACTGTCTCTTCTCTCTGTCCTCTTTTGGCTAGAAATCTCAAGATTCATAAAACAAACAAAAAAACAAAAAGAATACATTTTGAAGACATCCAAAAATACAAATGATAAACAATAGATATAAAAAAAGCCTCCCCAACATCTGAAAAACAAACAAGTAACAAAAAAGAAAACATTTGATATTATAGATATTGCAATAGCGTTCTATACATGGCATCACTGTACAAGGAAAGGAGCAAATGTCTGGTAAAACTACCCACAATGCAGTACACTGTCACTGACATGGGAAAGGAGGATGGAGAAAAGGGGGTACACAAGGTGGGTGAAAAGTCGCTGGGCTGGAGGAGGTGGGGAGGGTGGATTTGGAAAGCAGGGTAACCGCATGACAGAGATCGAGAAACTGCAAGGAGGGGTGGAAACAGAGGATAGCTTGAACCGAAAGTGCAGAATTACTTAAGTAATCGAAGAACAACATTGTTGTCCTTGCAACACAGAAATGTTTTTCCTTTAATAATAATAATAATAATAATATATTCATTATAATAAAACCTCTTTTACAGAAAACAGTAATAACAATAAGAGTAACAATATTGACCATAATGCCTACAAGGACATTAGCCTTAAAAATTAATTTTTAAAATAAAATAAAAATAAAATGAATGCTAGAAGAAGAAAAATACAAACAAATACAACAATGAGAGAGCTGGTTTGTCCTGTGCGATGTCACTGAGCTCCATCTTTGGAGAGAGCGGTTTTGTTGCCCAATTGGAGCCTGACCCAAAACACCCGCCACCCGGCCGAAAAGTGGCCGCCACTGCTGAGGTTTCAGCCCGCTCCGGAATGATCTGCTGCAGGACAGCAGGAGGAGAGGGGGAGACAGAGGAACAGACTGAACCTCCTAGACACCTTCACCCTCCGCTCACCTCTTTTTTTCCAGTCATGCGCGCGCGCGCGCACACACACACACACACACACACACACGATGTGAATACTTTGGGTTTGTGGCAGCAGTGTGTATGTTTCATTGTGTTTTTGGACTCTATGTTCTTGCAAGACTGTATCGATGCGTTGGCCAATGAGGCACATAATGAAGTATGCCAACAGTTAATAGAAGACCAAGGGTGAAAGGGGAGGATTAGGTGAGGGCAGCAGGTGGGCTTGGGGCCAGGTTTGTAGGGGGAGGAGGTGAGGGGGTCGAGTCGAAAGAGGGAGGAGTGGAACCCCAATCTACCCATGATGGGAGGTGAAGAGGAGACATCCCGTGGCAATGAACGCTGGATGTCTGTGCAGAAAAATGATGGCACTTTGACGTTTGAATCCCGAGGCCCCGCCTGTGACCCCCCCCCCCTCTAATGTCTACACCCTCCCAACACTCCCCCTCTCTCGCGCAGACTGCCCTCCCAGGGACCGATGGAGACAGACAGATGGACGTAGAGTGCCTCCCGCGTGGGCAGACGGCGGTGGTTTGGCGTGATGCTGCTCAACTCAAGTCAACACAACTCAGGATGGCTGATATGGACTGCTGTACACAGGATAGACCGCTTCCTAAAAGGAGATAGAGGGAAAGAAATGAATATTTATAACCCCTGATGATGTTTTCAGGGTTGTCTTGGCTTGGGCTTGAAGACTACACATTTATTCAGAAAGTCTGTATTAAAAACTGGGGATGTGGAGTTTGAAAGACATAAAAATGAACCAGGGGAGCAGGTAGGGTCTAATGAAAGGATGCAGTGTATAAGTTGCATTATGGGTAATGCAGCATCCCATGTTTTTGGAGCTTGAGACAAAAACTCATTGGCGTCTGATGATTGATCTGTGTCAAAAAGCCTAATGGTATCCACTAGGGTTGCAACGGTTTAATGCATTAATGTAAAAGCAGAATTTTTGTGTTGTAGTTGATTAAAGTGGAGCTCTTTAGAACAGTTTTGTATCAAAGTGCAATATTTAATAGTTGTTTTCATTATGGATTACTTTGATGGATATTTTCGCCATAAAATCGATTGATTGTTTGGTTTATAATACTTCTGAAAAGAGTGAGAAATGCCATCACAAGTGCTCTAAACAATTATTATAACAGTTGCCAAATTAATGTAGTTGTGTGTGTGTCCGCAGGTGAGATTTTCCATTGTTTTGAAAACGATCAAATTTCATATGGTGGTACCATGAAACCGGTTATCACTGTAACTCTAGTATCCACTGGGATTCAGTGGTGTAAAACAAAATGTAAAAAAGGTCTAAAGGAGGTAATCATTTTTCCACATAATAACATCTGCAAAGGAGTGAACATAAAAAGATAAAATGGACACGTGCAGAGAAAGCGAAGTAATAAATGTTAAGCAAACCATAAAAGCAAGGTCAAAAGCACTTCATACGTGGTTAACATATTAACACGTGCGTGCGTGCGTGCGTGCGTGCGAGAGAGAGAGAGAGAGACTAGGTACCTGTGCTAGACCCCAGCCTGCTCCATGCTGTACTGCAAGTCAGGGGGCTTGTAGCTGAGGAGCATGTCACTGGTGCAGGAGGAGGGGTAGCAGGCTGCCGCATGGAGCTCCCCCTCGACATCACACACTGCATGAGAAATGCACATATTTTACTCATATGGACAAAGAAAATCCACACAAATTTTAAAAAAGGTAGATAAACGCATGTCTCCTACTGACCTGACTCTTCCCGCTGGTGCAGCTGCTGGCTTCCTGTCAGTGACGTTTGGCTGAGAATGTCCGACATGCGAGCGGAGCTTAGTGCCTTCCCGGCCAGCAGGCTCATCCCAGACATGGGGTCCGCCTGATCCTAGACAGAAAATGAACAGCTTTACACAAACAGAGAAAACCCTACTGACACTTAAACAGCTTCCAGCAGCTGTGGTGAGTCAGGCCTTTGTGTGGATGACTGGGTATGTTTATAATTTGCCGATTACCCCCCCTCCCTCACCCAATGCGAAGGTTCACTCACATAGGCATCGTCACAGGTCTGGATGGTGTGGTGGCGCTGTAGCTGTCCACGGGACCTATAGGCGTCACCCTGGGGACCTCGCGAATAGCCCACACCATTATGATCAGGCACCTCCATGGCCTGCCCTGGGGGCCTGCACTCCACATGCTCAGATTCTGACAGAAAACATTAGGGAATATGTGTAAACCAAATATAAAGTGCAATGACTTTACCAAGAGTTAAAAATAAACTGCTGTGATGTTTATCTTAATGTCCGAGATCTTCAAATGTAAGGACCTCAAAAGTTAAGGTCAGGACGAACACTAGACTTGAAATCTCTGTAGCGAGTTTTATAACAGCTACGTAAACAGGTCTTACCTCTAGCTGCTTGAGCATTCCTTATGTAGCCACCATGCCTGTGTGTAGGGGAGCTGTAGGGTGGGGTGCCTCCTCGGGGAGGCCCCAGTAGCTCATGACCTTCTCCTGCCTTGACCAGCAGGCCCTCGTGTGGGTGGTGGTAGCCAGCCGGCACCTCATCCTCCTCCATGCTCTCTGAGTGGGGTAAGCTGGGGCAAGGTGCCTGGACCGGGTGCTGCTGTGGCTGGACCTCAGGGGGGTCGAATCTGGAGGAGGTGGTGGTAGTGTTGGCCTCCAGACGAACCCTGCGGTGCCGGCGGCTCCAAGCTCTCACCTTGGCTCAGCTGGCGGAGCAGCAACATCTCTCCATACTCTTGGGGTGCGCCGCTGGGTGGTGTGGGGGGCGGCGGGCACGGCCGGGGGCTCTGCCTCTTCAGCAGGGCAGCCAGGTCTTGGGGGGGGCAGCCTGGGATCGGTGTGGCCTGTTAAAGAGTGGCGGGGGGACAGGAGGCCCTGCAGTGTGGGGGTGACGTGCTGTTGTGGGGGGCGGTAGTCCAAAGGAGTTGGGGAGAGCAGGGCCTGCTGTAGTGTAGAGGGGGTGCCGTAGCTGCTGTTCCCCACCACCCCGCTCTGGTAACCATCCAGGCCGGGTACTTTCAGGGAGGCTCCCTGCAGATAGGGGCTGTAGGAGCCGACAACCCCAGAGGCTCCCCGGGAGGCGGCGTCGCCAGAGAAGAGGTGGGGATTGAACTGAGCCTGGTCATAGCCTGATGTGAAGCGGCCAAGGCTGCGACTAGATAGGAGGGAATGCAGAGGATAATTAGCATCAACACGCTCCCAAATCCTCTACACCATGCAAATAGATCAATTAGCTTTCAGTAATCTACACTGGGCTTTCATTAAATCACTGCACACAGACAACCTAGCAAACACTTCAGGCCACGTCCAGGTTCAGGTATTTACTGAGAGGTGTAGGGACATTTCAAAATGATACATTTTGAGTAAGTGTTCCACGTTCTCTCAGTGAAGTCAGTCCTGGTTTCAGGTGTTTATGGGGTGATGATGTCAGGGGCCACAGGATGACTGACTACTACATATACTTTCAAAACACGTACATCCAACCAACTCACCCAGCTACACTGAGGAGGAGAATTTGTTGAGGATGTCATCTCAGCAAAGGTGATGATGGATTTACATTAATTTTCAATACTGGTAAAAAAAAAAAGTGTCCTCAAAGTCTGACCCCTCACACATTAAACCCGAACACCAGAATTATACATCTAAGTATAAAAACCCTTAATAAAATAACACTACAAAAAACAAAAAAAAACAATGGACATTGCAGAAATGTAAAACAAATAAAACAGTGAGAAACATACAATGATTAACATGGTAAAAACAGAACAAACAGCATGGTGTCTGTTGTGAGTGACGTGGTAATGGAGCAATGAAACAGAAAATTTAAAAAAACTAAAAGCAAAAAAAGGACACAGAAACAGTCCATTGGTATTGTTAGGAGGGTTTGGTGGCCATCAGGGGACGTGGTGACAGGATGGATGGGGTCACCTGTGCGACTCGGCATTGTCTGCGCTCAGCTGCTTCCCGAGGACTCTGTGTCCCCCCGGCGTGGACAAAAAGCCCTGTCTCTGCGCCGCACCCAGCTCCACTTCCTGAACCTGAATGGTCACCTGCACAAACAGTCAGTGTTCATATTGATTATCGATCAGAGTATCACCCTTTAAATAAAGTCAAGAAAGATTCATTTAAAATACCAGTAGAGACAAAAATGACAAAAACAAAACGTCATTGGCTCACCTGCTGCTGCTGAGGTACACCCTGTGCCAGTGGGACGGTGGGGCGAGCAGATGCTGCTTGTTGATTGGTTGGTAGAGAGACTCGAGGCATGCCCGTGGGAGGCGGGCTGCCACTCTGGCCCTGATACAATGCCGGAGTTCCGTGCTGGTACTGCACTGGTGACGGACCTCCTAGGAGAAGAGAGGAGTCATTAGAGCAAAACCTCTGGCCACAGTTACTGAGAGCTGACATCATTATACTGTCTAAGTTGCTGACCCAGCAAAATCCCTCCGGCACAGAAACAGAGAGTTTAACCTGAGAAAGTTCAAAGTCTTGCATAGATTTTTCTTTCCAAAGTTTCCTTAGTCTACCTAAGCTTGCTTGGAAGGGTGCCAACTAAATTTCTACTTTTACTACTCCTCTTCTAATTATTAGGCCCGATCCTGACTGGCTTCCTAACTAATGGTACAGTTGCAATGACTAAATACAATCAGTTGTTTTCTCAACATAGTTATCTCCAGTTATTGTGTTTCTGGAGACCGACGTGTTTATTCACCTGCTGTTCCTGGTTGCACTTTGTTTTCATTTTGTCAGCTTAAACTACGCCTTCTACTACATTATTTATTCAACAATTTCCAAATGAACATATGTCAGAATTCAGTGTTTGTGTACAGATGACAAAAGCCAGTGAGTAATCAAGAGAATTAATCGCCCAGCACGTCAAAGGGCCAGTATCCATTTCAAAGAAACAAATAAAATCATAATAAGTCAACTGTCATACAAGCATGAACAACAAATAACCAGTCACCTATTTATAAAATCTGTCAGAGGATTCTGATCAGAAGAAGACAGATCTATCCATTTTCCTTAAAAATCCCAAGTTTAAAAAGGCACTGCATGTCCATTAGTTATATTGTTTGAAGCAATAAAACTTAGCAATGGTATTACTAACCATGCCCTTGCATTATGCCTGCAGAGCCAGGCGGAGGGCTCTGGTTGGGCTGTCTGAAGAGGTGGTTGCTGGGATGTGTTGGCGGAGGGCTGGAGGGCTGGATACGCAACCTGAGGGAGGACAGGACAGAGTAGGAGAGGAGAAGAGAGCGATATGACAATGATGTAACACTTCAGTCGATAACACTGCACCACAGTATCAAGTTCATTGTTCAAAAGCTGATGAGTAATACGTGCGCAAGTGTGTGTGTGTGTGTGTGTGTGTGTGTTCACCTCTGGAGCTGGTGGGTTAGATGACTGGGCTGGCTCTCTCCATGGCCTAAAGACAGACCCTGCAGGCAAAGACACATTCAATTTGACTCAAAGCTTCAATATAATGATTGACCCAAAGAAAGGAATCAAGCTGAAGAGACAAAAGAGGCCACAGAGCCGGATATCCAAGCCTCAGGTGAACCAAATCAATAGCACTTTCTATGAAGCTTACATCTGTGCTTTATAGATACCCGCGTAGTTCAATATAATGCATGCAAGAGTTGCTATAAGCCTTCACAGTGCAACGCAAGTATGATCTCTATGCTTTACAAGGTCAGGTAAACTGTTACAAACATCACCGTGCTTGATGTAACCACCATGGATGCTGAGTGTAGCTTTAGCTTCTAATAACGTCTTTATAACGGCCATTTGTCAGTTTGAAATACCTGGATTTGCTGGTGGAGGATTTGTTGCTCTTGCTGGTAGAGGATATGCTGCTGCTGGGTGTGCTCCAGGAATCGCTCATCCTGTTGGGCAGCGTACATTTTCTGGAGCTGCTCGCACTCCTATTGAAAACACAGACCCCAAACATTAAATTTAGACACTAACAAGGGAAGTACTATAAATCGAGGCTAATGTGTTTTTAGAAAAGTAGCTAACAAGTAAAAGTAGCAACATCTGGGATAGCTGATAAACAAATAACAAAATCCACTGCATGTCAAAATTTTATTTACTATTCTTATTTTGCCCAGATTGAAAATGTACAGTAAAATTCAGTCATTTACATTTATTCATTTAGCTGATGCTTTTATCCAAAGCGACTTACAATATGTATGCAAGAGGTCGCACGCCTCTGGAGCAACCCCTAGTTCAGGGGTATTCAATTAGATTTCAAAGAGGTCTAGTTAGAGAAAATTTCCTGAAGCAAAGGTCCGGAACATCAAAACGACGAACTTGCGTTATCATTCAGTACTATAACCTATAGTTGTATCAACACATGTTTTTAGTCAACAACGGACTGTCAAATCAAATAATATTTCAGTCAGTTTTCACATCAAACTGGAGGGATAATAAATAATAACTATTCAAATAATAAATTCTAAATTTAAGTAAACTAAAGTGCCTAATTTTTAGAAAAAATGTAATAAAAAGTGTAGCTTGAAGTGATGAAGTGTAGTCTTAACCAATTTTATAATAAACACTCAACACATCATAACAAATGAACAGCTGTAACGCCTCCTCTTCTCTTTCATTTCCTCTTACAGAGCTACCACTTTCCTACTTTCTGTTGTTCAGTGAGAAACGTGAGCTCCAGCTAGCATATTGGAGATCTATGAGATATTCTGGTTTTGAACTGCCCGTGGGAGGAATGTACATGTAAAAATCTGTACATTCTTAATTAAAAGTCATGTGAAATCTCTTTTATCTTTCGTCTCCTCAATTTGGGTGTGTTTCCAAAACGTCTCTGGTGAATCTCGCGGACTCGACTCGCAAGCATCGGTATGCACAGATTTGATTGGCTGAGCAGCGTCACATGAGAAGATTGGAGCACATGCGATTGGTCTGTGAGTTTCCTGGTCCTCTAAACCAGTACAGTAAATGCTAGAAAAGCTGCGCGGGTTAAAATAGAAACGCTCCGTCACGAGGTAGTAAGTCTCAATAATAAATGGGCTGTAGGTCGGCGGTCCGGAGAGGACGCCGGCTGGGTCCGGATCCGGATCGCGGTCCGCCTTTAGTGACCTTTGCCCTAGTTGCTCCAGAGGAAGTGTCTTGCTCAGGGACACAATGGTGGATGGGTCACATTGGGGGATTGAATCCGGGTCTCTCACACCAAAGGCATGTGTCTTATCCACTGCGCCTTAACCACCCCACATGTATCGGTTCATCAACAGCAAGTGGTAGAATATTTTTAAGAAATCACCATCTTGCTAGCAGTTACAAAGCAGCAAATCTCAGCACTAACCATCATATACAGTGGGTACGGAAAGTATTCAGACCCCTTTAAATTTTTCACTCTTTGTTTCATTGCAGCCATTTTCCAAAAATCAAAAAAGTTCATTTTATTTCTCAGTAATGTACACTCAGCACCCCATCTTGACAGAAAAAAACAGAAATGTAGAAATTTTTGCAAATTTATTAAAAAAGAAAAACTGAAATATCACATGGTCATAAGTATTCAGACCCTTTGCTCAGTATTTAGTAGAAGCACCCTTTTGATCTAATACAGCCATGAGTCGTTTTGGGAAAGATGCAACAAGTTTTTCACATCTGGATTTGGGTATCCTCTGCCATTCCTCCTTGCAGATCCTCTCCAGTTCTGTCAGGTTGGATGGTAAACGTTGGTGGACAGCCATTTTCAGGTCTCTCCAGAGATGCTCAGTTGGGTTTAAGTCAGGGCTCTGGCTGGGCCATTCAAGAACAGCCACGGAGTTGTTGTGAAGCCACTCCTTCGTTATTTTAGCGGTGTGCTTAGGGTCATTGTCTTGTTGGAAGGTAAACCTTCGGCCCAGTCTGAGGTCCAGAGCACTCTGGAAAAGGTTTTCATCCAGGATATTCCTGTACTTGGCCGCATTCATTTTTCCCTCGATTGCAAACGGTCGTCCTGTCCCTGCAGCTCAAAAACACCCCCACAGCATGATGCTGCCACCACCATGCTTCACTGTTGAGACTGTATTGGACAGGTGATGAGCAGTGCCTGGTTTTCTCCACACATACCGCTTAGAATTAAGGCCAAAAAGTTCTATCTTGGTCTCATCAGACCAGTGGATCTTATTTATCACCATCTTGGAGTCCTTCAGGTGTTTTTTAGCAAACTCCATGCGGGCTTTCATGTGTCTTGCACTGAGGAGAGGCTTCCGTCGGGCCACTCTGCCATAAAGCCCCGACTGGTGGCTTGCTGCAGTGATGGTTGACTTACTACAACTTTCTCCCATCTCCCGACTGCATCTCTGGAGCTCAGCCACAGTGACCTTTGGGTTCTTCTTTACCTCTCTCACCAAGGCTCTTCTCCCCCGATAGCTCAGTTTGGCCGGACGGCCAGCTCTAGGAAGGGTTCTGGTCGTCCCAAACGTCTTCCATTTGAGGATTATGGAGGCCACTGTGCTCTTAGGAACCTTAAGTGCAGCAGAAATTTTTTTGTAACCTTGGCCAGATCTGTGCCTTGCCACAATTCTGTCTCTGAGCTCTTCAGGCAGTTCCTTTGACCTCATGATTCTCATTTGCTCTGACATGCACTGTGAGCTGTAAGGTCTTATATAGACAGGTGTGTGGCTTTCCTAATCAAGTCCAATCAGTATAATCAAACACAGCTGGACTCAAATGAAGGTGTAGAACCATCTCAAGGATGATCAGAAGAAATAGACAGCACCTGAGTTAAATATGAGTGTCACGGCAAAGGGTCTGAATACTTATGACCATGTGATATTTCAGTTTTTCTTTTTTTAATAAATTTGCAAAAATTTCTACATTTCTGTTTTTTTCTGTCAAGATGGGGTGCTGAGTGTACATTACTGAGAAATAAAATGAACTTTTTTGATTTTTGGAAAATGGCTGCAATGAAACAAAGAGTGAAAAATTTAAAGGGGTCTGAATACTTTCCGTACCCACTGTATAAACAGTCTCTTTGCGAATTGTGCATTGTGGAATTAGTTCATGGATGTTTAGTGTGGCGACAACTTCCTCTACTTTACAGCTCCCAGTGGAACCAAAGTTTAACACCTTGTGGTGGCGTCATGTGGCTGACTGTTATCCTAAAGGTAGTCGAATGGCTTGAACAACACAGGTACACTAATACAATTAAGCTAATGCTTTGAGTTAATGACACTAAATCACATTCAGTTACATTTCATTGCGGAATAGAAGTCTGAACCAATTTCCTGCCACATGCAAATGAGATGTTGAAACCTAATGTCTATAAACACTTTCTGAAGCCCAAAGTCATGAAACAGGCCTGCCAGCTTGTGTGACCAGCTACAACATGTATGATGAACTCGTCGTGGAGGTTGTAGAGTTGTCCCTGCACTTCTTTACTTCCAGTTTCTTCCCAGTTATAGAATAGACACATTCTTTGACCCAGGGTATAGTTCACGTGTGCATTAACTTCTCCCCTACCCATACTAACACTTGGGAGCAATGATAATCCCAGCATGTCAGTGCACAGCGAACACGGTGATTATCCTCCTCCCTACCTACGCCTCCTATTGGGTGAGGTAATCTCACTGTAGTGTCACTGCAAATGATGTGATGTCTCAAGAAGCAGCTTGCGGTTTTCTCAGGTGAAAGACTCAGTCCGAACTCACCTTAAGGAATACTGTATGTTGTGCGTCAACACTGCAGTACGTTCAAATTGCATCAGTGTTTAATAACAATGCTCAGACTGGTTCACTAGTTTACGCTTTGGTCACCTCACTTGATCACAAACAGCAAAAAAGGCTGGTTAAGATTAGTGAAGCGATATCTGGAGTGAACGGTCACATAACACTCTTGCTGCATCTCAAGGCCTAACTTTCATCCCTGTCATCAAGATCTGTCAACAATTTAAACATTTTTCAGTCTTAGCATATCACTGCCATGCTGTTTAAAAGGATAAGACCATATCCCTTGTGTCAGGACGTCCGAATGCCTGATGTGAAGACCATGGGCAAAACACAGTTGGTCAGAGATGAATAATGGCACTAAGCTTGCTCAGATTAACACTCTGGACTTTTTTTCAAATCAGAAATGAGCTGACACCATTAGCTTCTCACTGTAGCTTGACTGTTTCTGTTATGAAATGGTAGCAGAGAGCATGAGGAGGCAGAACGCAGCAGCCAGCCAATAAGCGGGGCTCATCACAGTGGTATACATCCAAAGAGTGACTGCTCCTACACTGAATGTTACATCACAGAGTCTGCCTCAGCTCATAAAGCACATTTGCAGTGCCAGGGATCTTGGTGTGCATTCCCAAGAGTCAAAACTGCATCAGACTAGCTGCAATGTATCACAATTTCTGCACTTCTAGCCTTAAGAGCCAAATGTGTTGCACCACTGTTGTAATTGTTGAGTCACTGATATTGATCATAAAACCTGTTGACCCTCCACAGAATTGTTGCCTCATTTTCTCCTACAGATAGTGAGAAAAAAATAACTCAATTTGTCTTTGGATAAAGCTAGGCACACAAGGGGAAAAAAGGGAGATGATATCCCTTGATATTAAGTAAACTGATGTACCTGTTTGAGTTGCTTAATGAGGCTGCTGTTCTCCAGATGAGCCTTGAAGGCCTGGATCGTGGCGGCGCCGTCTGAGAACCGTCTGACAGGTGAGAAGCGTTCCATGGGGAGATGAAGGGTGTTACAGTCCTTATAGCTGGATCTGGAGAGGGGACCACAGGGAGCAGACACAAACGTGTGCACACAAATACACACACACCCGTGCACGCACACAGATACACACACATATTCATACAGACACAGAAACAGAGACATAAGAAGCTTGAGCTCTTCAAACCTGCACAATATATTACAAGTTAAAATATCTGACTGTGATACATTGAGTGTAGGAAATATTAGGACCCACAAATTCACACAACTGATTTGTTAAATAAATCTTTAAATGATTTCCTTCATCCACTCGATCACGACAGAGGTTATGGAGGGGAACCTGGCTACGACTCATTGTTTGGAAACTAGATGTAATATTCTGAGTGTTGCACAGTGACTACATTTTATATCACTTTGTGTCAGAGGTCACTGCACCACCTTAACAGCTGAAGTCAATGGCACAAAAACCTTACATGTCACAGCTGATCATTAGTTAAAGGTAAGCTGCATACATACCATTGTTAATGGAAGTTCATCTAAGGGCAACACTGCCAATACAGGACATTAAAGGAATGCTTTTTGAATATTGTTTTCTATAAATAAGCTCTTTCCTCAACTTGCCACTGATGACAGAGGTTTCTCTGTGTAGTGCTTAGGAGATAAGCCAGTTTACATAACACAGTAAAAAAGTAAACAAACTACCACCATGTGTTGGCATGTTTCATAGAGATCTAAATAACTGAACCAGGTGGATATTTGATGCAGCTGTCACTTTTATGCAGAAACACTTTTTTCCATCAAAAACTGGCCAGGTGATCACGGTCCATTTGCTTTCCAAAAAGTATCCCATGAACAAAGACACATCCTTCTGGCTTTACACAACCATTGTAGTTCAACGGAAAATGCTTTCTTTAACAACAGCCAGGTCCTGCCTACCACTTCATCCAAATCCAAAAAAAAAAAAATCACAATAAAGAAAAAGTATACTCTCAAAAGACGTCAACAAACTGAGTTGGAGACACATTATACTTACTACTATACTATACTGGGGGACAACAGCTAGAATTGCTACATGACAACACCGAAACACAAAAATATGGCCGCTGTTGGAGAGAAAATACAGAGGTAATGATTTAGCTTTGAGAGGTTGCTGATCTATTAATAATCTGTTAAAACTTTGGAGTGAACCTGTCACATACCTGCTCTTTCCAGGTTTGTTGGGAAGAAACGGTTACTTTGGATAGTGGTTTACGGGTGATGTGGCGATAAGTCTGTCATGTGCCACATCCTCCACCTCCAAAACCACTATTAACAAAAAAATATGCTTCCTCTTTGGAAGGTGCACAGCCTTCACATGGTGTGAATACATCATCACCAATGTGTATGTGTAAAATCAACTGTGCACGTAAGTGAGTGTGTGTGAGAGAGAAAAAAAAAAAAGACAGTTCAGCTTAATATGCCCATTTAATGTGTGTGAGTGTGATTGTGTGTGTGTGTGTGTGTGTGTGTGTGTGTGTGTGTGTGTGCGTGCATATACAGCTCGGAGCGGGCGTGTCCCCTCACCGGGTGTGTGTGTCGGGGGCCCAGCCCCCCCTCTGGCGGGGGCCCTGGGGCCGCTGTGACTCTGCCGAGGGCTCGCCATGCGATGTGCTCGTGAGCGCGTGCGTCGTGTGCCGCTTGCAGCGGTTCGCCAGGTACCTGGGCCGCAGGGAGGGGGGAGGACGGGGGTGAGGGTGGGAGACAGGAAGCAGCGCTGGTCAGCTCTCTGTCCTCATTGGCTAATGGAGACGGGGGGAAAGGACCGCCCCTTCCCACCTCTGCCAATGGGTGCCATCATTCATATCATCTTAGCCAATCAGAAAAACATAGAATAAAATTACACCATAGATGGATGTTATAGCTTATGGGATCACATAACCCACCAGCTTCCAATTTAAGGATTGGACTGGTTGACATTTTTTAAATAATTGGTTTTGCAAGCTTCAGAGTTAGCAAAGCTGTGTGAGAAAGCGTGAGAATAATTTGGCACTTATTGAAATGAGAGATAAAGAAGCTCTTGGCCAAAGAGTTTAAGAGATAGGAGGGCTGGATTTGGTGGCAGATTCAGTTTGGAACTGTGGCAGAAGGCACTTGCGCGATGGAGAAAGGAGGAGAAATGGAGTAAGCACCACAGCAGAGTGGCCACCTCCCGTGGGATAAAGCAGAGCAGCCTAGAGGCACTCACTCCCAGCAACCCAGGACACCAGCGAAGTCTACAGGAGGTGCGGTCTGAAGAGGACCAACTGGGAAACCCTGACCTGGACTTCTGAATGCAACCCCACAACTCCATAAACCAAACCTGTGCCTATCTTCACCCTGGCCTACATTCAGCTCCTTCTATGTCAAAGATTTTGGTCAGTTTCTCTAGATTCCACACTGCAGGGTCCTAGTATTTGCAGTTAACGCGTATTGTTTTTGGCCTCCTCTAAAAAAGTACTAACTAAGCTTTATGTCAAAAGGTTTGCTTACACTGAAGGCAGCAATGCAGATCTGTTTTCCCATCTACAAACGGTAAATCATAAAATAATTTGAGATCAAGCTTTACGAAACTAAAAATCTAATAAATACTGAAAACTTTTAAAATTGAAAGCTAGCTGAATCCTCATTTTTCCCCATCACAGGTTACAGGCCCTGCAGAGAATCCAGTTTAGACAGCACCTCTGTACAGTATACCCCTTCACCAAAAACCATCATGGTGGGTTACCTCTGTACAGCCTCTTGGTCTGGCTCTCCGTCTGAACCCTCCTCATCCACCGGAGCTACCGCAGGGATAGGGTGCTAAGGGAGGCAAAGAGTTAACCAGTCACCACTACTCCAGTTTATATGAAGGGAGAATAAACAAACTGCACACATTAAGAAATCCAGATCCTGACCGGGCTGGCAACAAGCGGCGAGGGCCCCCGAGGTCGCTTGAGGAGTTGAGCGTGTAGTTGAATATTGGCCCCGCCATCGGAAGCTCTTCGACCAAGAGGCCCCATGCCGTTGAGCAGCTGCAAGGTAGGTGGCTGCAGCAACGACTGCTCCTGGAGGATCAGCAGGCACAGGAAGTCAGATTGGAGAAGGGAGAAGAAAAAAAGAAAATCGATATAGTTTGCGGGTTCCTGCAAATCAACTGATGACTTCCAGAGGCCACACCTAATGTAACCCAACTGGCTATACCTTGTACTCCAGCTGCTGTGTGGGCTGCAAGCTCTGCGTGGGCATGAGTGTGTGCATTTGGCCCATAGTGGGGGCCAGTGGGGGGAAGGGGGGCTGGGGCACTGCACCACGAGGGAAACCTGGTGGCAGTTTCTGGAGGTCCTCCTGCATCTCTGTCCTGTGGTGGGAGGAGGGAAAACAACAGGAAGGAGTTACTGGCTACGTAGGTGTGCAAGAATATACTAGTCCCTGTCTTATCTGGGATAGATTATTTAAATGCCCCTTAAATAACCCACACCTAACCATCCCTGGGTCGATGTGCCCACCAATAAACACTCACAATTAATATTTGTGATCTCTCACTGATTATTTAAAAAGCTAGCAACTATTACACATGATTTCTGTTTTGATCAGTAGTTGGCAGAAACACAGCATATACCATCTTTTGACAATTGGCTTAAAGAAATGCAAATTTGACGCAGTCTTCTACCCATAAATCCAATACTATACATTTTTTCCCGGGGCGTAGGCTTTATCCACAGAAGAGAGAAAAATTAGAACTGCTGAAAGATACAGACTTACTTTCACTAAGTTTTTGGGTTATTATAAACAAGATCAGGCATTTTAATGTAATGGCTCATTAACAAAACATGGCAGCGTAAATAAAAATCCTAGGGAATGATGGGTGATAACATAATATTATGGTTTTAAATAAAGTACTTTATACACACAAGACATAAAAAACAGCTGTCAACTAAAATTACAGACCTTCCAGCTAACAGTTACAGAAAGAAAAAAAAAAAATACTGCTGATAATGTAGCAATAAGAAAAGAAAATCCCAAATGGTAGGTTGAAGAGCTGTGTGTTCATGTGTTACCTTTGGTCTGGTACCCCCACAGTGTGCCGCCTCATCGAAAGGTAGCGAGCCATGGCCTCTGGAGATGGTTCCTCCCCTTCATCACTGTCCAGCGCCATGCTGCCATCCGGCTAAACAATATATACACGCACATATATATGGTCATTAGTAATCGCTGTGGTAGTGTATGTGTGTTGCATGCTTGTGTGGCAATGTATCAAAACATCATGTACATTTTTAATGTAGCTCAGTTCTAATAAACATGCTCCAAAAGTTACAATCCCTGCTGCAATGCAGTGATCTGACGCATTCATGTGTTTCACAGCATTTGTGAGTCAGCTTTGAGGTTTTGTGTGTGTGTGTGTGTGTGTGCGCGCGCATGTATGTGTGATTATGTGTGTGTATGAGATGGATGTCAAGCTACACTAACAGCAGTGAACTTTAGTAGTAAACAGTAAATAATGGAAATACGGCCAGTGACTATAAACATGCAAATCATCAAAAGTATGAAGACTGGATGTTGCTGTGTTGATTGATTTATCCTACAAAAGAAGTATTGTGGCAATTCCTTGCTAGGTAAGAGACTCCTTTAAAGGAGTGACAACTAAAACTCTTTAAGTTAGAAGCAGTTAGGGTTGAAGCCATTTCATCTCCTTGAGCAAGTCCTTCCTGGTCTAAGCAGCAATCGTCGACTCACCTCAACAATCTGGTTCTCTGGGTTGATGAGCTGGACATGGGGAACAGTCATGCTAACAGGATTACCCTGTGGATCAGTCTGCTGGGCAAGAACACAAGCGCACACACACACACAACACACACACACACACACGTCATGTGAGGACAACAATCTCCTTAGTACAGTGGGATTGGCAGATGTGTGTTAAAGCCAATCAACTCCATCATGACATTTAAAAAATAATAATAAAAATAATTTTGCTATTATTTTGATCGATATTACGTGATTTGTGATATGATCATTTTTATTTTTGCATCACAATTGTTATTTTTACCAACAGCTATAGCGATGATGTGACATTTGTTGGGGTCTACACCCAACAAACATGTTTTCTTACATCTGGAGAACAAGATTTGTAGGCCGGGCACCTCTGTGGCACTAGTACTTCATTATAATGCGGTTTGTCACACATTTTCATCAAAAAATTGCAGCTTCTGCGATTTGGATATTGAAAACATATTTACTAAGAATCGATTTATACACTATCAATTCATATTATAGACGGATACACATAGGATTAATCGGCTAACTATAGTGTATGTTAAGATCACTGCGTGACCCACTGGCTCTACAAATCTTGTTTACAGCTATAATAAAAATAAATAAAAAGCTCCAACTCGCTAAAAAAAAAAATTATACAAACTGTTGAAAATTGACACCATGTAGGCTGCAAAGCCACCATCATCATGCCGCCAACGGACAAGAAGTTACCTGTACAGCGTTAAGAGGATAGCTAATGGGGCGCAGTGTGGGCGGGGCAACACGCAGGGTCTTGTGTTTCTTGAGGCGGTCAGCCAGCAGACTGTAGATGGCACTGTAGTGATCGTATGCATCGGTTTGTAGGGACTATAGGGGGGGAAAGCAGGAAAAAATTAAAGCTGCAAGCAGTATTGAACAGGCCTTCACATCCAAGCAGGTCTCAGTGGGAGAGTCACCAGACGTCAGCTGTAATGGCTCAGAATCTACATGACTGGCACTTTGCGAAGAAGATATCACTTCCTGTGTCTACTATGGGGCACTACAGAGCAAACGACAATAATACATGATATTGCCGTTTATCGAGTATAGACAACAACACAATGTCAATTTCATGTAAAATCGCATAATCTTTGTCACATGGGGATTGCTTCCTATTCCCTGTAGGTAGCGTTATGACGCATGAATGTCACATAGGTGAGAGCAGGGTAACATCAATAACCCATTTGATGTTTAAGGCTGATTGGTTGAAACATTGTTCAGCTATTCCCCTTTTATGTCTCCCCACACTCAGACACACAAGAAGCCTACACCTCAGGGAAACACACCGGCTTGCCCGCCCTCTCTCTGTCTCCCCCCTCGCCCGTCTACTCCACTTTCTCCTTTAGCAGTACATTTTATAAAGTCACCTAAAAGGTACAGAAGTTTCATATTTTTCCACCCGCGAACCGTTATCACGGCTGCAGGTGAGCCGCTTGTGGGCTGGTTAATGACACAGCCCATCAACCAAACTAAAATCTGCACCCTGTGTGTTCAATGCTGCTTTACCTGGTCTGTGCTTGTAAAATTTCCACCGCGACTTGTAACGTCATAGGCTACCAAGTTTTTAACCGAGTAAAGTCTGTGCGACTGAACACATGCACATATGACGACCGCTATCCCCCTTGCGCACGCACACGCGCCCCCAATGACGTCGTCCATCCCGATGTTTCAATGTAGACATCGTCCTATGGAAATTTTGTAGACATCGCCCAACCCCATTACATCATGCATGCAGCCATTAAATAACTTTACATATTTAAGACGAAGACTTCTCAGCTGAGCCTGCGACCCGATCCCAGATAAGCGGATGAAGACGGATGGATGGATGGACTTCTTCTAAGGGGTAAATCATTTTAGCTAACAAAATACACATCTCTCAGCTAGAAATCTGAAACCTGCTTTTGTTTACTTCCGTTAAATCAAAGACCAAGTGTTTCAAAAATTACAGCAAATATCAACGTTAAATCTGCCACCATTATCACTGTAAACGGCATATGTACAGTGCGAGAATGGAAAGCTCGGCAGGGGTCGCAACAACAACTAAGGAGAGCGGGGCTTAGCGAGGGGCAATTGCAACCTAAAGTCATGAAACGTGTTTAGAAAATTCAAATCAACACACAAAATCCAAAATGGCTGACTTTGTGTTGGGCAAACTCTCTTAAAAGAGAAATATGTTCTTTATTATGAGAAAAACAATAGCTTCCTAGCACCGTTCGGGCACTAAATTAGTTGCTAGGATTATTTTTTGACGAAAGACACTGCTTAAAATCTAAATACATCATTACAAGGCTACTTATTTGGGTCCAACCTGCAGTGTGCGCTCTCGATCCAGGCCCATCTCAGACATGGCTATCAGCACCTGCTCATTGATGAGCTCGGTCTCTCTCTCCGTTTTCACCTGCTCACACTCCGCTATCAACTGGAAGAGATAAGATACAACTGTTAAAAATACTGAAAGAGCTACTAGGATACTAGGGTCCCAACTGGGTGCACTGTTGGTTAATACCTTTTCATTGATCAGATAGAATTTAAACAGTAATTTATCCATCTCTTTCACTGATGAATCTTTAACATCTCTAGCAAAAGGTCACAAATGTCATACAATGGACACAGAGACAAAGGCACAGAAGGAACACTGTTCCCCACCATCAAAGTGGAAAACATTATTTTGCGATAGATAAATAATCATTACAAGTGAAGATACTTTATACATTATAAGTGAAAACACTGACTGCTGAATATTTCTAGAGGGGTCTCACCCTGTCGAAGTCAGGGTCCGGGTCTCCTAATCTCATCCACTTGTTCTTACAGATCTGCTCCATGGACAACCTTCTACTGGGCTCCAGCACTAACATGTGTCTGATCAAGTACTCACAGTCTGCAATAACACACAAACATACAGATGCCCTCACATCAGATAACGCCACTTGATACATAATATATATTAAAGCAGCTCAACTGTATGAAAAACATGCAAAGCAACAACCATTTTCTCCACAATTGTGGCCGTTTTATGTTCAGAAACTCAATTTATGTGGATCAGCCCTGAAAACATAATGTACCTAGTCTGTATTTCTTTTGTAATTTCAAAGGGTGACTTAAAGTGATAAAATATTTTAATCAAATACTCAAATCAAACACTAGGCTTGAATGGTTGCTGTTAAAGGTTGCAAGTAAAGAGCTGTGGATCTTGTTGATCCCATTCTGATGTCCTTTTCGTGGTAGAAATAAATATCTTAATATCCATAGAAAATTCTCCACCCACTCTGCTGTAAATCCTTTTGTTCCGTTTTCTCCACTGTATCTGTTGACATAATGTAGTGCAGAAGTCTTTAGATTTGTCCAATGTGCATACTTGTCACTATTGGAATAATAATAAATAAAATGTAACCAACACAAAGTGAAGCTGACCAAAGCTACTGTTAAAAGTTACTCTGTGAAATTTGTCAACACGGGGAGCGCTTTGGAGCAATGTTTTTGTTTTTATCAAGCACAAGGACACACATAGTACACACAGACGGGGTGGTACAATTAATGTCATGCCATCTGTGTCACACTATTCTGCTGTTCAGCAGTTGGCTGTGGTAACGCACCAGCAAGCAAACGTGGAAACATTCTACATGCGGCACTGCACAAAAGTCTGCTTTGCAAATGTTTTAAGAGGAAGGAAATGCACTCAACATGTTTATTAGACTTCAATGACAAGGGTTGTGCGTTTTGCTGAGAAGGCACTGAAAACGTAACGTTTTTTTAACAAGAAAATGCCGTAGGGCACGTTTAATCGCCACATTTCAGGCAAATAGTGGTAAATTATTTTTTGTAGCGCATCACTTTGGAATTTGCCTGGCCCATGGGTGGGGAAAAAAAGCTACTGACATCTTACACCGTTTAAGGTATGATGTGGAGAAGGCGGCGGAGAGACATGGGAAAGAGGAAGAGTTTACTGGAGTCCTACCTGTAGACATGAAGAAGGGGATTCGGAACTTGCCACTGAGGACACGTGCCCGCAAATTTTGTAGAGTGCTGCCATCAAACGGCAGGGCGCCGCACACCAACACATATAACACCACACCCAAGCTCTATACAGAGAAAAGACAGCAGGAAACAAACAATGAGTGCATTATTTTTAGATTGAGCTTCAACAAACAATTATATTGATTATACATAAAATCTTAATTTACACTTCAATTTTCAGATGAGTCTGATAAACTGGCTGGTTAAGAAAAGAAAGGATGGTGGTGGCCACGGAGGAGCTGAGGTTCGTAAAGCAAGTTGCAAACTGGTCATCTTTTAAGTCGAGTTGCAATGATTAGTTGATTAATCGGTTAGTCGATCGAAAGAAAATTAATCGACAATTATTTTGATAATTGATTGATTAATTGTTTTAGTCATTTTCTGGTAAGAAAAATGTCGATTAGATAGTCGATTAATCGTGAAAATAGTTGTCAGATTAGTCGATAATGAAAATCATTGTTAGCTGCAGCCCTAGTTGCACGTTAACGCGTTTTCGCCTCAGCCTGCAAATCACCCACCCAAACAAGCAGCGGAGGGAGGCTTCAGCAGACTATGCTGTCATCTCTTTTTCCATATTTTTCCACCCACGATCCGTTATCACAGCAGCAGGTGAGCCGCTTGCTTGTTAATGACGCAGCCTATCAAACAACTCAAACAACCCAAACCAACAACTGCACCCTGTGTGTTCAAGGCTGCTTTAACGTTACCTGGTCCGTGCTTGTTAAATATCCACCACTTGTAACGTCATTTCAAGTTTTTAACAAAGTAAAGTCTGTGCGAGTGAACACATGCACATAAGACGACCACTACACCCCCCCGTCCATCCCGATGTTTGAATGTGGACATCGTCCCAACCCTACTGAACATTGTATTTCTGCTGCTCCCTGATAAAAGATACCTGCTAATACCTGTTCAGAAAAAAAATATATAAGAAAATTAGACTCTGATGGTAACTTGTTTTAACAAGCTACATAAAAAGGTAATGCCCTGGCAGTGGCAAATAGCTTTGGTTTAATATCTGATTTGATTACATTAATGTTTATGTTATAGGTTTAGGTAATACGTTATTGCTGCTGTGTAAAGGGAATACTGCTGGCTTTGGTGCAGAGCCATGGAAAAATGTGAAATAACTGGAGAGCATCAAAACTATCTAAATGACTTTTCCCAGATCTGATGGTTGTATCTAATGATCCTCCCCAGTGGGCTTCTTCAGCAAGTTTTTTGTTTATTAATTATCAGGGTACCCCCAGGATTCTTGACTTTTTAAGACTTTTTTAATACCACCTAGGATGAAATTTAATTCCAACTTCACTGCTGTATAATGGAAAATCTGTATGAATTTTAAGGCCGAGAAAATTATTTACAAAGTCACGTGAATTTAATAAAATATTTTATTATAATACATTAATATTTAACACACTATAACTTTTTGTGGTGTGTTTGTAATTTGATAAGATAAAATTAATCAAGGACGTCACTTTGAGTTGAAAAGTGGTGGGGACATAAGGGTTCAGATTAGGGGTGTGACAATACGCTTAGCTCACATTCACGATTTACAATATTGGGTTCACGAGAACAAGACACATATTTTAACACTATTTGATGAAATATTCAATGTGGAAATATAAAAATGGGGGTCTGGGGGTCCTCCCCTAGAAGATTTGGAGCATTAAACACTTTACTGCATTCTGGAGACATTTTCTGCACCAATTTATGGTTATATAATATGCCAATTGCTTTTGTGATTATTAATTCTATTCTGTGTTAGCATCTAAAGGCTGCTTGAAATACAGTATTATATAGTAGCCTATTGGCTTGAAGGCAGTGGGGATAGGAAGTTGGGTTCCAGTTTGGGTGATGTAAGTTTAAATGTGCGTTAAGGTTAGTTGGATGTTTCCATTCACATAACTTTACTCTTATACAAACCCAGGCTCTCCGTTGCTGTTGTAACATTAACTGACCAGTAACCTGCAGCGGGTCTTCCAGCTCCGCTGTTCCATTAGCGCTCGCCAAAGTGTGACTGGCTCACACTCCGACCTGCTTGTTATGCTAACCTCAGCGGCACTGCCCTCAGCCTCAAGCGCCAAGCTTGTCCGTGTCTCTGGCTTTCTGAATTTCAGACACTTGCCCATTCTCAGGCGACGAGCTAGCGTTAGTTTGTTTATTAGCACGTCAGAGAAGTTTTGTTTTCTTTCCTGACAACTGACTGATACGCGCAGAGCTTGGATGGCAGATCTTGTGCACTGCAAACACTCCACAGTCCAGAGTGTAAGGCAAGGCAAGTTTTTTTGTATAGCACATTTTAACAACAAGGTAATTAAAAGTGCTTTACATAAAACATAAAAGCAACAGGGAAAAATAAAAAAAGTTTAAAAGCAACATAAAAGCTAAACACTGACGTGAACATGAACGTTACCTGTACTGCCGTATAACATCAGAGTCAAAATTTGTTCATTTGTAAATTAAATTTAATACTTTTAAGGCCTTATTTTTGGAATATGAAATTTAAGACTTTTTAAATACTTTTAAGACCATGCGGGTAGCCTGATTATCTGCTCTAGCTTTTCCAACTTTTTGTACACAGATATGGTAATAATAAGGGTCCAAATGATGTAAAATTGCATGTTATTTTTTTCGAAAACATCAAATGTTCTTGGGGGAGGACGCCCAAACCTCCCACAGCCAAATATGTGCCCCTTAGGGTGGAGGCAGAAATTTCAAACTATAGATCTGAGCTAGCGTTGCATGCTCATGGATAAGTGCCGTGCACACCGGCACTGCAGCTGTAAAAAAATAAATAAATAAATCTAGGGGAAACGCTGTTGCGCATACCTAAAAGTTTACTCACCCATATATCTACTTTGGGTCCGTCATACTCCTTGCCCTCAAAGAGCTCTGGTGCAGCATATGGAGGGCTGCCACACCATGTCTTTAACAGCTGGCCTCGAGAAAACAGGTTACTGAAGCCAAAATCTGACACGGGGAGAATAAGGAGGAGAAGTTTAATCAATCTTATCAAGTCAACCCAGGAAAATGCTCCAAAAGCACATGTTGACACTTGCCTACACCCACTCACCAAGACAGCCCAAAACCACTAAATTAAGTTTCCCACCCATACATTCTTAAGTGCAAACGCACACCTGCGATTTTGATGTTGAGGTTGTGGTCCAGCAGCAGATTCTCAGCCTTCAGGTCTCTATGGACGATGTTGCGGCAGTGACAGAAATGGACTGCTGCCACAATCTGCTTGAACTTTCTCCTGGCGTCCTTTTCTGCCATACGCCCATGAGCCACCAGGTGATCTGCACGCACGCACGCACGCACACAGAACAGTTTAGAGATTTATGGTTCGTATTTATCAGAAAGTGAATCCTATGATTTTGTTCAGATTTAACCAAGTAAATCACAAGATTAATCATCAGGAAAAATGCAGAAGGTAAGGTATAATCCTTTAGAAAACCAGAAAAATGGGACATAGGAGACTGGCTATGACTCAGAGTTTCAGGGAGGTATTTCAACTCTAACAATAGGTTAAACAAAAGACAGGAGGAAGTAAAATTTGGAAAAACATTATTTACATCAAGCTTACAGAGGGGGAACTCCCTTACCAAATATCTCTCCACCGCTAGCATACTCTGTTACCAGATAGATCATCCGCTCCGTCTCCATCACCTAAACACATAAACAAATTATTACAACAGGCCAACATCTAGTGATGGGCAGTTCACCCGTTACACAACAGAGTGAGTAAGCAGTTTTTGGCATATGAACAGAAGGATTTAAAAAGAACCAAAAAACATCAATTTATTCAGTATGGTGTCCAATCCTTTCCAATGCGTGTGGATTTCAAAAGGTTTGCGATTCGATTATGCTGCTGGGGGATGTTTCAGACAAGAGGCTGTTAAAATTGACTTGTGACAGGTTGGTTTTTGGTGTTACAGCTGGAAACGTTTGTGTGACGGCTGTGGTTCTACTGGGCAGCCCCCCCCAGATATACAACCAGGAGTGCAACAAAGAAAATGAACTTTCCCTGGATACAAACTGAACTTTTTCCAGGTACTTTTTCCAGGTACATTTTACAATACCAACCAAAGCCTACAATCAACGTATTGGTACAGTGACAGGTATTGTCACTGTCAGATCCTGCTAAACACACATTATTTGCACTTTTCTTATTGGGCCATGGGTCTTAGGTGTATGATGTGAGCAGAGTGCATTTTCGGCTCTGTGGGTGAGCGCGAGTGTGTACCTGGTAGAGGCGGATGATGTGGGGGTGCTTCAGCAACTTCATGATTTGCACCTCTCTGAAGATCTTTTTCAGGTTCTCATCGTCCAGCTGGGTCTTATCCACTATTTTTATAGCCACCTGGAGACAAAGAGACAAGAGAGGGATGCAGGGGCAGATAACAATGAATGATGAGAGAGGGCAAGATTAAGGAGGAAACCGTGAGGAAGACGGAAAGAGACAGAAAAAGAGGGAAGAGTGAAAGACAGTGAGGAGACAAAACAAGAAAGAATTGATCTTAAACTATGCTGTGTGTTTACCAGCTCTTAAGAGTTCAAATACATTTACAATAACGGTATTTAGCTGACACTTAAATTACAGGCAACAATACCAGAGCGTGGTTCCTGTGACCTTGCAATATTGCTGTGATGACACAATTATCTTCGAAGAACCAAGTGCCAAAAAAATAACCAGTAAAGGGGAGTGAGTCAGACAAACTCAATGTAACTTGACCTGTCACAGCTAATCCATAAAACACAAAAATAAGTAATAAACACAAATAATTATCTGCCAATGGCTGAGTTAAGAAAATAAGCAACTACAAGGAGATGCTGGCACTTATGATGGAAAGCCAAACTGCATTTTGTCAGATAATGCGCTTTCTCTGGATTCCAAGGTTGTTTGGGTAACCTGACCTGAGCCATGACCTTCGACTGCATGCCCGACTCTTGCTTAACCGCTGAGCCCTCGACAATGGCTCCAGCAGTGTGGACAATGATGGTGTGTGACAGGGGCTTTGCTCGGCCACTTGTGAATGGGTAGACAACTTTAATGACTTAATCAAGCAAAGCTAATGGGGCTGCCCCAAAACACAGTGGCTTCCAAAAATAGATGGGCGTGTGTGAAAAAATGAGAAGCATGCATCCTGTATTAACACACACACACACACACACACCACCTCATCCATTAAATTCCGTTGGTTGACATCCCAACCTGCCCCTTTTCCTGATACATGAAGATGATGAGGCCTTCTGAATACCTACAAGGCTGACTTCCTGTTGCGGACAGGAAGAGGAAGTAAGGGAGAGCGAAGATGGTACTCCTGAGAGAGGACAGAACCACATCCTACTGTGGAATTAATCCAAATCAATTGTGCGTCTATGTGTAGCTTCCCTTCAGGCAGGACCCTTCCTTCAAGGGCATTATACAATTGTGGAAAATGTGTGTATTGGTAGAGTTCATGTCTTCCCTGCATGAAGAGCCCTGCATTTCAGCCCTTCAGGTCATAACTCACGAGTGGGCCGGGCATCGGGCCTGTATAAGGCTTCTCCTTTTTATGTTTAGAAAGTCATCAATTACAAGAAAAAAAATTATTAGCTGGAGAACAAAGAAAAAAAAAAAAAAGTAAAATTTCTAATCTATCACAATGACACAGTCTGCTCACGGCGCGCGTGATGCTGTGTACATAACGGGTTTTCTATGCCGCTGGTTCCGGAAAGTCGGATCGCTAAGTGAAAGCACACATCGCAGGATTATGTTGCCATATATATATATATATATATATATATATATATATATATAAAAATGAGTGAATGCGGCATGTTGCCGGATATTCGTTATGCATTTTATAGCGGGATCTCTGTATGAAAGCGGCTGTGGAGGCTGTCTGGTTTTTCGTTTGGGATTGGCCGTGTAAGTTACTGTGGAAAAGTCTTGATTTTTGATGCACAGCCAGGTGAAGTAAAACAACCTGCATGTTTTTATTATTAGCCTATTTGTTTAGAATGTAGGTCTACAGCACGTTTGTTTTTCTGCACTCCCTCAGCCTGCCAAAAATGCCTTTTTACTGTTGTAGTGATATTAGCCTACATGTTTAAACTGATTGTGATCTGTGTTTTATATCTATGGATTTTATTGTAGACAAGTCAACTGTTGGCAGCTGGCCGTTTGGTTGTCACTTTAAAAAACAAAAACATTAATTTAACTAAGAATAAAAAACTCCAAACATTTTTCTAAAGTAGCCTAACTTAATAAAGAAATTGGCTACAACTCTGCTATTTAGAAACAAAGCTGAACTATTTTAATGGCTGCAACAGTAGTGTAGGCTGAAATGGGAGAAGAAAAAAAAAAAAACGCAAAAAAAACACAGGCTCCAGTCGGGCTCGGGCTGAGAGTGCTGATAAGCTGTTAGACACGACCGGGCTCGGACCTGAGCGTCTCGGGCTAGGGCCCATATTTGAGGCCCGTGCAGGGCTATACCTGCATGTACTCATTCAAAGCCTGATGTCAGCTTACAAACCTTGGCGTTTTGCATTTTATTTGATCATTCTATTAGGCAATTTTTGCTGAGGAGTTCTTAATTTTAAATGATAGTATGCATTTTACATGTTTCTTTCAAATTAAAATGGTGGAGTGTCACACCAGCCTTAAGAAGCTTATAATGCACTTGATTTTGTTGCAACATATAAGACACTGAACATCAGCAAAAATAGTATAATTAAGTAAAAAGTCTCTTGCTGGGTATGTGTATATGTAGGTATCTGTTTGGCGTGTGTGTGTATGTGGTATTTTAAGATCTAGGAATCTATTCCTGGCATTGGCAGTCATCCAGTTTTGTTGATGTAATCACTCCCCTCTGCATCTTCTGGAGGGTAACAACAGGACATCTGGATCAGATATACACTCCCACACGCGACCATATGCCGCCATCTACACGTACACATTATGCTCATTTTGAGGAGAGTGAGATGTCTGGATAATGGGGATACTGGGCTAATATTATATTTATTATTAAATTGTACAGAGGCTTGGTGTGTGTCTGAATATAAAACCTTGTGCCAGGGAAATTGTTCAGTGGCTACATGACAAGACGGACAACTAGGACACTTGGAGAGTTAACAGGCACTGTGGAGTTGTAAATATTTTAGGTTTTACATATTGGTCACTCAACTGCTATGTTTCTCCAAAAGTAAAGATTTGAAGATTGTTAACAATCAATCAACTTAAGATTTGCATCTGTAGTAAGAACTGACAACTTTGTTATGCTAACAGGCATAGACCGAGCTAGATAAATGATGCTAGCAAATAAGCTGTACTCCACAAATAACCATGTGACCTGTGTATGTGTCAAAAGTTTGGGTTTCCAGCTTTAGCTCCGGCCAAGGTACAGCAAATGTGTTGTGATTCAGTACCTTAGCAGCCTCAGGTTGTTCAGTGTGCTTCGCACTAGCTTCCATAACACTGGAATTTTCCATCAAAAGCTCTGGGTACAGGCAAACACACACAGACGCACACTCCTGGTTGCAATGACATGAAGTGTCACATAGCCCCTCCAATCAAGACAGTGACCTCAACACAGCACCATGCCTGGTGTCCAGCAGATGAGTCTGGACCATTTACTGTACATTACACAACGCATGCACACCGAGATTCGGTGTAGCGTTACAGCACAAAAGAAATAACAGCGGCTGATGGCAACAGAACAAGATATGTGACTCTTTTTCTTGAGAGGCCATTGTGTTTGAATAGATTTTGTTTGTTTGTTTTTGTGAATTTTGTCATGATTGTACGAAGCATTTTAATATGTTGTGTTTATGTATGGCTGCTACCTTGGCCAGGTCTCTCTTGTAAAAGAGATTTTTGATCTCAATGAGACTTCCTGGTAAAATAAAATAAAATATATATAAAATACCCATCTTAAACAAAACATTGGGATATGTAATGGGAAATCAAATGGTGAAGAACAATCCACTTTTGTTTTCCTACAGGTGTGCATTTTTTCTGGTGGTGTTATCACAGACCACAGCTAAAGAAAACGGGTCTCATTCAGGGATGGGTACTGGAGGTACCCGTTTCGAATTGATAAATCAGAAACGCAATAACAATACACTCCTGTGAAGTTGGTGCTGCTATATTTATTTGAAACTTATTTATTTTTTCATTTAGCCTTTTCATTGTCCCTACTGTTATATGAACTTTCCCTATATGTAACTATGAACTAATGAAAGGTCTTTCAGCTCAGGTAAACCCGCTTGGTGTCTAAGCTGAGTTCTTTTCTCACATTACAACAGCAATACACCTACCATATACAGGTTAGTAAGACTGAGATTACTGGAAGCTTTTAAGGAGCTTATACACAGGCTAATGTGTATAAGTGACCCAACACAACACACTATCTGCTGTCAAATCATTATTTCTTAAGTTTAAAGGCTAATTTTTGCACCTGAATGAAATTGAGGGGCCAGAGGGTTAATTGTGTGGTTAAACTATACTTTATGGTCAGAATGTGACAAACACTTGATGCCAAACAGTGGATCACTTCACATATCTGAGGCAGAACATTCAAAATAATTATGATTAAATCCTTTTTCAAAAAATATGAGAAGTAACTTTTTTAGTCCCTTTTCCTCAACAAAATAAACAACTTCATAGAAAAATTAAGGGCCAATTCGTTTTTGATTCTAATAAATTAAATCAAATATTTATTGACGATATATTGAACATTTGTTATATTGTTATTGAGGAAAAATTATATAGCGATAATTGTCATTGTTTTACTGCCCAGCCCTACTATTCCATGCCTAGGTTTGAGAACCAAAAACCAGTTCCAAATAAGAGCCGAATCCAAAGACACCAAGAACCAGGTACCGAAAAATTTGAATTTCAGTTCAGCTTTCCGCTTCCAAAACACGGTAACCCTTTATTATTGCAAACAAAGGCTACAGGCACCAGCGTGTCGAATATTCTGTTTCTATCCATATCCGTTGGAGTTTAGCTTTTCACTTAGGTTTGGCAGCAATCCAACAGCACCATAACTTACATTAATATAACAAAGTAACAAAACAAAGATCTAAATCGGCTCTAGTAGTTTGTGATAGGGATACACCAAAATGAAAATTCTTGGCCGAAGCCGAATTTAATGAAAAAAAATTGCCGAATACCGAACAAGTACATTCACACCTTCTTTTTTTTTACCACTGCATAAATTAAATAGTTGAAATGTGCTTTTTACCCAGTTTTTCCAACAGGATTTGGAGAGACTATGGTGGGTGGGTCCGAGGCCTGAGATGGTCGGGTAAAGTAAATTACATGTGTCCATTTACTTTTAATGGACACATGTAATATGTTTTATACTTTGTGAA